GGTCAAATGTGGGTGGTTCGTTGGTAGGTGGGTGGGGTTCAAGGCTAGCGCAGGAGTTGGACGAATGGATGGATTGACTGCGGAAAAGGGCGCTGACAAGTTTATTAAAAACTACATCAACATTGGAGTGGGCATGTGTTTGTTCGTGCTTGGAGCTCAAATGGTTTTAATCGCATTGCGAAACCAATGACAAACACCAGCTATAAATATCGAGGCTTATTGAGGATTGTAGACCAAGCAAGGATAAACCTATATCTAAAATTTAGGGAAATACTATTTAAAGTTAGTGTGCGTGTCGTGTAGTGTAGTTTGGGTATGTGGATTTTTATTATCAAAATGTTTAAAAAATGGACATAAAATCAAGTCAAAAAATTGATATATTCTTGGAAGCTTATTAGCTACAACTTAGTCATAAAAAGTCGTATAGCTAAAATATAAACAGTTTTGTGCAACTAACTCTCAGAACTGTCGAGCCCTATCACTGGTTTTCTGATTTAAAGCAATTAAATTTTGGCCCAAATTTCGCATTTTTGATAAGGGGTACCATCATCAAAATTTTCAAAAATGGGCCTGAAATGAAGTTTCCCAGATTTGAATCCAAACCAATTGGGAATCATGGCAATCAAGTTACGAGCTGTACGAGGTATTGCATTCCTCATTTGGACCGTTTTTGACTGTGCTATGCCAAGAAAATTGATTTTTTGTGCCCAAAATCACGTATACGTCGTTTGACAGCAGGAAGCCCGGGATTGCTGCAGTTTCTTAGCTCCAACTTTGTCAAAACAAGTCGCATAGCTAAAACAATGACTGTTTTATGCAGCTAACTACCGAAAATTAACACCCCTATACTTGGTTTTGTTATAATTGTTCTGATTTTTTGGTGGGAGCTCTGTTTTAAGGTCTGAAAAATCAGGAAACCGAATTTTAACAGAAATTCGCAACTTTTATTGCGGGTTGTTAGCTCTAGCTCGGTCAAAACAGGACGCACAGCCAAAGGAACGACTGTTTCGTGCTGCTAACGACCAGCCCTTACCACCCCTATCACTCGTTTTTCGATTTTGGGAAAATAAATTTTGGCCCAAATTTCGCATTTTTGATAAGGGGTACCATCATCAAAATTTTCAAAAATGGGCCAAAAATGAAGTTTCCCAGATTTGAGTGCAAATCAATTGGGAATCATGGCAATCAAGTTACGAGCCCTACGAGGTATTACATTCCTCATTTGGACCATTTTTGGCTGTGCTATGGCCAATGAACTGATTTTTTATGCCCGAAATTATGCTACGTCTTTTGACAGCAGAAAGCACGGCCTAGTTGCCGTTTCTTAGCTCTAACTTTGTCAAAACAAGCCGCATGGCTAAAGCAATGGCTGTTTTATGCAGCTAACTACCGAAACTTAACACGTCTATACTTGCTTTTATCATTATTGCTTAAATTTTTTAGTGCCAGCTCACTTTATCCTCATTCATTTTTTGTCCAAGTTGCGCAAGAAAATTACCAAAATTTGACATTTCAAACTGTGAATGCAGTTCGACTAGGAACGGGAAAACAAACTTATCAAGGTATAATATTCCATATTCGAACCATTATTGGCTTAGTTATGGGCACAATACTGTCCATTTTTATAAACTCCAAATCGGATTAAGTCCACTTTCGAAATCAAGGTTTTATAGTTGCGTTTACCTAGTCAGTCACTGAAAATTTGTGTGAATAATTCAGGCATTGTGTCAGGAGCGAGGGCTTTTCGATGGAAGCCGTTCAAACATTTGCTTAGACGAACATCAAACAATTCCCATTGATTCGCCTTCGGACTCCCATGGATATTGTACGATATATAGAATGGTAGGTGTGTATATTCGCATGTCGATGAATAATGCACCGAATTCATTTCGACTCGCAACTCCCCAATCAATATGCATCCCCTGCAGGACCGCTCCCACTTTTTTTTTTTTTATTCACTGCCCCAATAACCAGAACAAACTGCAGAATAAAAGTTTTCATACCCCAAGCACCTCCCTACTCCTCCCAAAAAAAAAGAGGAAAAAAAATGTTCAACCAGGCAGCTGCAATAATCATGTTTGCGTCACGATGTGTGTGTGTGCGTGTGTATATATATGTATATATATGGTTCAAGGATGCTCGAGTTTTATGTCCTATTTCTCTGTTATTTTTTTTTTTTTGTACTTCGGACTCAGAAAATCGAGGGAGAAATGAAAATATTGTCTTTTGTGTATTAAAATGAAAGGTAGGAATTGCTTTTGTGAGTCTCTGAAAATCAGAAATAACAGATTCCAAGTTTGCAGTTACTTAAAAACACAAAATTCCAGACTCCTCTTATTGGTTTTTTGGTTAAAGTTTTAATAAAAATCTCTATCAGAGATTCAATGAAGTCATTCAGCTGACAATCTACTGTGCAAAATTGTATTTCTTTTTTTTGTTGATATTTACATTGGTTGTGCGTCATCTGGATGACACAATTTGGTTTGGAAAACATATCACACCATTGTTTGGTAATATTAAGATTGAAATTGTCGGGAAAAGTCATAAAATTTAAGGGTCATTAAGAGGTTATGTTAACCAGCTAGTTAATCTGAAGGTTAGATCTTTGTTTGTAAGAGTTTTGCCATTGGAAATGATATTATTAATATCTCGGATAGAGTAGTAAAGTGCATAGCTCTATTATAGACAATGGCCGAGTGTAACGAAAATAGCGCTGAATATTAAATGACGAATGAATGATTTTCGTAGAAATATATGACAACCCTGGCTGGTCATGTCTTTAAATATTCATCAATTGTTGATGTTATTATTTCACTTCCGGTTCGTTTGCGGCTGCCACGCGGTTCAATGAACTGTTGACACGGAATAACCCCCTTTTACCTCTCATACTCTCTTGCCATCGCCATCGCCATCGCCATCGCCATCTCCCTTTCCATCTGTCTCGCTTGCTCGCTCGCTCACACACACTAGCGAATAATTCGCTGGCCATGCAGACACGTATTGCCTCATATATATTTAGTTTGGCTTATTTTTTCCAAATGATTCCCCAATGATTGATGGGGCACAGCGCAAGTAACAGTAAAAGCCAAGTGATATGTGATTGCAACCGCTTTGCTGTACAGTTGTTCCTGCACTGTAAGAAATCAGGGAGCCCATCTTAGCTTAAGCATGGAAAAGTGTACAAAATAATGAAATATCCTGTAAAATATTTCACAGTATAATGATCCTAGATCAATATAAATGAATTTTAACGCAGATTACCATATTTATAAATTAAGATTAAGATTAAGATTAAGTAGTTATCCCTTTTTTTTACAGTGCAATATTGTTGCCACTGGCAATTATGAAAAGCCACGCCAAGAGAAAAATCGAGCCAATGGCCTTCTAATGTGTGTGTCTCTCTCTCTATGCCTTCTCTTCCTTAGCTGGTGCTCCATTTAAAGGATATTCCATGCCGACGCCGTGCTGCTGGCTTAATAAATAGCATCGAGGAGCGGTACTGGAAAACGGTTACGGAATGGATGCTCGCCGGCAGAAACGACTTGGCCCAGCGCCAATTGCATCCTTCGAAAAGTCATTCGAGGACAATGCCACAACAAATGCACAGCAGCCAAGCCAACACCAACACCAACACCAACACCAACACCAACACCAACACCAACACCAATACCAAAACCAAAACCAAGTGGAGCAACAGCATCATCATCATCATCATCATCATCATGGCCATGCGGCGGTGAGTCCTTTAGCCTATTTACCCAACACACTATAACAATGTATACAGTGAACACTCCACCTGATCTCGGCATAAGTTGAACGTTACAAACTAACGGTATATGCTTTAGACGACCCATATATCGAGCAACTACTGTAATAGTTACTGGCCCATGTCACATGCACATAATGCAGGGCTTAAATTAATTAACCAAAACATGAAATCAACTAAAGCGTTCCTGGGTGCTGTAAGCTTGGCCAAAGCTTTCCGCTCTCCAAAAATGATGGGTGTATAAAAGGGGGTGACACTGCAGGAGGAGGAGAATGGGAATGGGGGGTCAAAGGTTGGGGGATGTATGCCGCAATCATGCAAATGGCCACTTAAAAGGCAGGCAGGCAGGCAGGCCAAACGCTTGTGGCTAATAAACAAAATGAACCTTAAACGACCAAAACAACAACAAGCAGCAGAAATTTTGAATCTATATCGCAGGAGACACGCGTCGCAGATCGCTGGCTGAAAAAGCCCAGGAGTTCGGCCTGCATTTGGAGGATATTTTGGCACGCATCTGCCTACGAATCCGAAGTGCTCCAAATAATGTTATTTAGCCAGGGGCAAAAGGGACGAAAAACGAAAACGCGATAAAGCATTGGGTGAGAAAGTGAAGAAACAGTGGGGGGAAAAGGTCTATAACAAGGTACTAAGCCGTATGCCAAAAACCAATCTATCTAGTACTAACTTCTCTTAGCTCCTATAGCTTTCAGAAAGAGGTTCCAAAAATGGACTTTAAGAAAGGACATAACACTATGAATTAAGGTTATTCAAGGTTACACTTAGTTCCACTTGTTTCCACTTTCATAATCTTCCTTAGCCTAACGAATTTCTTGAAACATTTATTAGTTTATTTTTATTAATTTCTATTTATTTTGCCAATTTAATCCGCCAAGCGTATATATTTATTTGCCCGCCGATGTATTCCCCCTCGCAGTCGCACCCACACGCACACATGGCAAGTTGACTCTTGAAGCTTCGCAGGCGCCACAGCTGAGTCCTCAGAGCTTTCCGGCCTCTCTTTTTTCCCCCCCTCCTCTTCGCACCTTCTCTTGTACCGCAAAGCTTTCGAAGCGAATTGAAGCGAGAATAAGAGAGAGAGAGAGAGAGAGGCAAGGCAAAGCAAAGCAAGGCAAAGCAAAGGAAAAGCGGAAAAGCGAAGACGGCGAAGCTTTCGTCGCATTCCCATTCACATCTAACGTTAGCATACTTTTCGGGGCAGTTCGACGCTGGCGCTGCGTGCGTTCGGTCTAACGGAAAACGGTGCTCCTGCGAGTAAGAAAGAGAACGATACAGAGGAAGAGCACGCGTGTGTGTGTGTGTGCGTGCCAGCCAGACTTGTGACAGGGATAGCAATAGCAGTTAGCTGAAGTGAGCAGCCGAACAGATAAATCAAAAAAAAAAAACGAAGATAGAAGGCAAATGCAAAAAAGGAGCACAAATCACACTTGCTGCCTTTTACCATTCATCGTGTTTGTTTTTTTTTTTTAGTGCAAATTGATGCAAAATTAATAAGGACAAGTAATACATACTCACGCACACGTGGAGAGGACTTTTTGGGACCGCGGTGAGTGTGTGTGTGTTTGTGTGCGGGCGAACGGGTGTGTGTGTGTGTGTGTGAACAATAAACAGAAAGCAAAGCACGCGGCTCTCTCTTATCCTCATTCCCCCACACACCTTCTTCACTACTCTCTCGCTTGCTCTCTCTCTCTCTCGCTCTCTGGCTTAAGTTGCTTTTTATTTAAATTTTAATTAATCTAATCACACACAAATGTGTGACAGCCTCTCTGTTGGCTTTTCTCTCTCTCTCTTTCTCTGTCTTTTATCTTCTCATTTTTCTCATCTTTCGCCCCCTGTCCATGCCATGCTTGTGTCTAGAATTATGTTACGATTTGTCCCAAAACACTTGCCCATATTTCCTGCCGTGCCACCCAAAAAAAAAACAAGAATACAAAGAAATATACGTTATTTTCTTTTCTGTACACCACAAAAACAAAAGGCCAACATTTTTGGTAGGGGGTGCTTAGAGGTTACGCCGTTCTTTTTTTTCGGGGCTTTTTCGAGTTTTCCGATGCCCTGTGGTTAGGGGACTTTGGAGTTTTAAAGACATCACATGGGTTCCAGGCAGTCACGGATTCTGTAGGGGTTATTATGGAGATGCAGGCTACGTACTAAGCGGATTACAAGATAACAGATATATTTATTAGGATTAAGGGATTTTCGGTGTTACGGAAATTTACGAACTTAAAAAAATGTTTGAGACCCTTAACAAGCTGCTAAAGGGCTTTCTAATGGAGCTAAAAGATTTCAGGATATTAAGGGCACTGAAAACACACCACTCCATCAAGGCTTTCAATGGGAAAGCACACCCTTTGCGCCCCTATTTTGTCTGCCGCACAGCACGCTATGTGTGCCTTCAATTTCGGAAATCGTTGCATAGCTCCCAGCGCCAACTTTAAATTAATTTGTGCCCCCAAGGTCCCGCAGAGACAATAAACGATACCAATCGCCCTACCCCGTCTCCCTAGCATTCAGGCGCCATGTGTCAATCATCCCATCCACAACATCCTCTCCCCCTTCCCCCTTCCAGGCAACTATATATCTATATATCATCTCCCAGCTCTTTATCACCATAACCACCCAAGAGCCACCCACTTTTTGCGTGTGAAAGGATTTCTCCTTGAGCGCTTTTAATGCGAGTGCAGCAGCATCACAGGAAAAACTGCAGCCAGGGTGGTGGCATTGCGAAAGTCTCCCCCTTAGTCTGTTGCTCTAGTAAACTTAGAGCCCTGCATTTCCATATCATCCCCCCTCGGCCTTCCCTCGAACAGCTTGAAAACTTAAAGCCCGCTAATGGTGTTAGCCAAAGACTTTGGTCCCTCAGACAAGGAAGGCGACAAATAAAGTTGCTTCGTTGCTGCCAGCTATTATCTCATACCTCCGATTGGGAGTTACTTAAAGTAAATTGAGGAAAGCTGAAAATACAATTTAAAGGGGAAACTTTCATTTCCTTTAAGGAAAACACCTTGAGGAGGCATTTTTCAGCAGTTTCTATATATATATTTTAAATTTATAACACCTCGGAAAACAATAAACATATAGAAAGTGACCACGATTGCTTATCGAGCTCATTCATTATCGGCGAAACTGCCACAGGGCAACGAGTCACTTTGAGTTCCTGGGACTCTAGCCAGATGCTCCTGCCCACAGTTGCTGTTTTGACCTGACCAAAAGCAAACCAAAATCACAATGCAGGTCACTTCAAGGCAATATGAAAACCAAAAACCCTTCAACTATTAACCCGACTAAAATGGTAAACCTATTTCGACCACAAGAAGACAATGCAAATCATCGTTTCATTTGAAATTCACATGTGGGAATAAGCCAGCGAGTGAAAAGCGAAATGAAGGAAAATCCATAGAGAAAACGCCGCAGGTCAGGTCCACATGTGTACAGAGGAAACTGTGTCAAAAGCATTTGATTTCAATTTGCGAAATGCAATCCGAGGGGGGATTATAAGTGGGTGGTAGCCGAGTTAACTTCTAATCGAAATACGCCAGCAGTTTTCTATTATTCTTCATTTTCCCCAGAGTTTTTCCACAAGAAAGAATTAGATTTAGTAATTCACGTATTCGCAAGTCCTTGAATAGTCAACATAATGAATAGCTACTAAAATTTACCAGATTTGCAGTCATTTAACAATTTGCAACTATACTGCAGCCTCCACTTTTTGGCAGAGCGATATTTTCGCCAAAATTCTGATCCGCAATATAGTTGCAAAAACTGAACAACTGGCAACTAAACTCTGGCCAAAACTCTACAAACTGTCAATTGGTCTTGCAACAACCTTGCAACGGGCACTAACAGTGACGGTTTGTATAGTTTGAAACTACTCGTACATTGCCAGGCATCTGCTGACAAATTTCTGGACAAACTAGGTCCGCTTTTATCTTGGGTTTATTTTTGTTTTTTCGTTTGTTTAAATTTACCAACTTATTAAATATAAATTATATTCTATATATATATTCCAGATGATGGAGCAAAGTGTACGAAATCAGACAACGATGCCGACGACGACGACGAATCGTAGTAGAACCGCTAGTGGCATAGAAGCACCCAGCATAGCTGCTGCATCCGCAGGTGGTAGTACAGCCACCTCTGCATCCACAGTACCCGCAGCATCCGCATCCACCTCCTCCTCATCGTCGTCATCGGTTTCATCGGCCACATGCTCGGCGACAATTGTCCAGGCGAAACAGCGACCTCCGCCTCTAAAAACGGCGACGACAACGGTGACCACCACTTTGGTGAGCAGCAGCGAAGGCGGTCATCCCATCCCACCATCCGCCCATTCGGGTGGTGGTGCATCGGGTGGTGGTGTGGGCGCTGGTGGGAATTATCGCGGCACAGCCACTCTAACCACACCCTCAACGCCCCGCATTGAGCTTAGTCGCGCCTCTAGTTCGTCGCATCATGAGGAGGACAGCCGGGAAAGTAGTCCGGAAAATGTTTTCGAGCAGGTGAGTGAAAGGATAAGAAAGGTTCTAACGGATAGAGTATAAGGTATTACCCGTAGATTTTTCAAATCAGTTTTCTTATGTGAGATTTTCTAGTTCTTGGAATGAGAATCAAATCAAGTTAATATTTTACTTTAAAAAGTATCAACAAGAATGACATCCTTTAAGGTTGCCTTTTCAGTGTAGACCTTACAATCGATTCACTGATGGTTTTCATTATATAATCAAGGTAATACCTTATACTCCATATATATATTCCTATATATGTTTGTTGGTAGACAAATTGATACCCTCAAAGCCCTCAAAGGGGGTTGGGTTAGGTTTGAGGAGGCAAGGAATCATCTGGTGCTAATTATTTTGTATTTTACTCTTGTTTGCTTCTTTTGGATTCGTGTATCGTGTTTTGTCGCTTATTCCATTCAAACATCAATCAATCTATCTTAACCATCCATCGATACGTATATCATCGTATATATATATGTGTACATTTGTCTCTCTTTCTCTGTCTGTAACACTCTGTGATGCGCTCGCTACCCCTTGCACACACACGCCTCCTTAACCCTCCCACACATACACCTCCCTTTGGAAACCCCCATAACCCCTGACCTATAACACATATCCAAACCACGTTGAACCTACCTGCCGAAAAACAAAAATCCCGACCGAACCACAAAACGAATCCTGCACACAAATTGGCTGTTGATTTGTTGATTTCGTTTCTGTTTTCTGTTTTCGGTATTCGTCTTTCTTACTCTCCACTCCCTTAACCACCGTGCATGCTTCTTAACCACCCTTTTCCCCCCAAACCACCTTCTCACCTGTCCTGACCTCCGCCTAATCCCCAAACGAATAAACCAAATCGAAAAAAAAATCAAAACAAAACCAAACAAACTATCGCTCTGACAAAACGTACTGCCCGACTGTCGACTCTCAACTCTCGACTCTCGATGTGTGTGTGTGTATTGGCTGGTTTATGTGGTTGAACTAATGCTCTGAAGGTCGGCACTGGCACCCTACAGGAAACGATTGGCCTTGGCTTTCGGGAGGATGGAGCCCTCGAGCTGCGCAGCTCCACCGAGGAGCTGTACTTCATGGATGCCGAGCAGAAGAAGGAGGAGCAGGAACGGATTCAGCAGCAGCAGCAGCAGGTGAGCCGGCGGCGATCGCAACTGAACACACACACAAAAAATTCCAGCATCGATAAATATATCGAAACTCACTCGATAAATACACAAGACAACAGCTAACAGCTATTATATAAAGACTGTAAGAAGTATTTTAAGACACAATTTACGTAATAATTAATCATTTTAAGAATTCTACACGACATTTTACACAAATTTTGATTAAGATTTAGGCATTTATATCTTTGCCAAAGCAAAGTCTTTCTTGAATTGAAGATATCAAGATGAATGTTTATCGTAACATCAAAACTTCAATACTTCATTTCCTTGTCTTTGTAAAAAAACAAAATAAGTTCCTTGAAACACATTGGCAATGTGGAAGCTCGTTATTTTATCAACTTGCTTCGACGTTTCCTTTTAAACAAGCGGATGGGCATGACATTGACGGGGTCGCGAAGGTTGGATTCTCGGGGTCAGAAGAAGAGGGGAAGCCGGATATAGGAGTGAAGTGGGAGGGTGAACAGTAACCGCATAGCAAGTTAAATTAATAATGCAAAATTGCATTCAAGTGGCTGGGAAGTGCAGCAGCAGTAGTGCCATCAACGGAAATGGGCGACCGGATGGACGAGTAAGCACCGAGTGACAGCTGACAAGTGTAACCACCACCCCAAAGAGAACCCAATGCCCGCCTCGATTTTCCCATTGCAGCCTCGATTTTGCTTCACCCTCCCCCCAGAGTTGCGATTGTTTGGCAAAAGTTTATTCCTGCACTTGGGCAAAAGTTTGTGGGAATTATTTACTCCCGGCCCAGTTTTTTCCCCGGGAGAAATGAGTAACTCTGTCAGCTGGCAAGAATCGTTCAACTTATCAATTTCTGGTTGAGATGAGGTGGTGGTGGTAAGGTGAGGTGAAGGCTCCTCTTGGTTAATTGCAAAAAGTTGCAATTGATTAGTTGGACGCGTGACTGAGTTAATTGGCCTGAAGGCGAACTGTAATTATCTCAAGGCTTTTACTAAAGTGCGTTTCGTATAAAATTATTATCAATATTAAACTAATTATCGTTAAAATGTGCTGTGAAAAGTCGAACTTTTCCTTATTCAAGGATTTTTCTTTATACAAATATAATGTAGCATACTTTTCAGGGAGTTATGTTAAGCATGAAAGAGATTCTTGTAGTGTTTCTAATTATAGGATTTTACCTTGCCATAAACTAGTAACATAGGTAACAGAATCCGGGGGACTGCTATACTAATTAGCATGTCTGACGCATGCGAAATTTACTAAGCTGCTTAACCAGAACTGCAAACTATGAATGCTAATTAATTAGCTAGTAAAATCTTAAATCCTAGCTAATCCTGGTCCACTCGCAACCCAACAGCCAAAATGCAATTCTATCTCCGGAATCGCAGTTTTTCAATTTTCCATCAACGCTACTTTCCTTTGTGCTCTCGTTCTGTTTGCCTTGGTTGATTGGCAGCCCCGGGTAGTGAGTCCAGATTGAAGAGCCGCGATTGACGTGGAGCCGAATGGAATGCCATGATTGCCAGCGGACCTCTGTCCGTTTCTATTTCCTTTTTTTTACACTGCTGGGTATAGGAAAATGGGTTTCTTATTTCCGCTATTTCTTTTACTAATTTTGATTTTCGGACTTTGTTATCTTTACCCCCAGAATGTTAGGCGTTACCCAAAAGATCCATTAGAATATTAACTAATATTAATTATTATTATTATTCCCTTTCTAGTTTTCATGTTTTGATTAAAAGCAACTTGAATGTTTTGACTTCTCTATCAAGACTTTATATACTTTATGAATCGCCCTCCTCTCTTTATGGTCACTTTGGAAAACTAATCCACTTCTCGCCATCATTCTTATCCAATCTAGTGGAATCCTTTTTACATTGCATTCTATTTTTAGTGATTCTAATCTACCTAACGTCTTATTTTCCTAATTTAAGTTCAAGATCCTGAGACCACTTAGATTTCTCATATTGTAGTAACACTTTTCTGGTTTATTGAAATTCCACGTCGCGATTATAAATCATAAAACACAATATACTAGGTATTTCATTATGTTGAAGTGACATGGTTTCCATCTCATTTTACCATACTATCCCTGTGCCAGTGCATCCTTTGACAGACTTCTCCTATTCTTTCGACTCGTTATTTGCAGGCCAAACGCTCGTCGCCGCACATCTTCAAGTTTGACGACCACCAGAGTTACCTGCAGCAGCACCAGCGCAAGGATTCAGCCAGCTCGGAGGTGGCTGCCCTACTCTGCATCTCAGGTCGCACTAGTCGCATCTCTAGCGTGGGTAGTCAGGGATCGGCGGTAAGTCGCCTTTCGGCGATATCGGGTGTCTCGCGTTCCCCATCACCGCATCGCATGCTGCTGGAGACTTCGTTCTGTGGCCCCAAGCCGGTGGAGCTGGCGGGTAGTGGAGGTGGCAGTAGCGCCTCCACTGCGGCCAGTTCTGCTCATAGTCAGGCGGAGGGTATGCCGGGAGCTGGGACAGTGGCTGCAAATGCGGCATTATTGGAGCAACTGCTTTTGGCCCGAAAACATGATCCCACCCAGGCAGTCTTAGCAGAGGGCATCAAGGTCTTGCCCCCAGCTCCAACGGGCTCCTCAGCAACCACTTCAAGTCGCAGCAGGAGCAGACAGACCAGTACGCTGGCCAATGGAGAACGGATAGAGAAGGAATCAAAGATAAAGCCAACGATTGGTGCCCAACGTAGAAGCACCAAGAGTCCGGGTCAAATGGTTGTGGGAAAGACAGCCAGCGGCACGGAGTACATAAGGATTAATCTCAGGCCGGATCATATGTACAGCGATAAGGGTATAGCCTCCAATGAGAGAGTGGTGGAGGCACCAAATCAACTGGCACCGGTTTACTCCAAGCCCGCTTCGTTAAGTTTACAGGGTGGTCACATAGAAGAGCATCGATTGACCCCCACCGCAAGTCCCAAGCCAGGTCGACGCCTGACCAGTCGTTCACCTTCACCAGCAACTGGTGCTGGCGGTGGTTCCGTTTCCCGGAAGAGCTCTTTTAGTTCTCTCTTCCGTTTGGGCAAGGACTCTCCAGATTCGCCCAGGGAAACGGCACGGTCACGTAGTAAAAGCAAAGAGCGACCCGCCACGGCTTCTGGGGGATTGGGAGGAGAACGTGGTGGTGGTGGTGGTTCCCAGAACGTAACTCCCAGTAAGCAGAAGTCAGTGTTGGCCATTTTTAAGCCAGGAAAGAGAGGCAGTCAGAGCAGCAAGAGCTCATCGCCGATAGATTCTAGTGTTGAGCCTGCACCACCGCCGCCACCACCGGCACCAGGATCTGGGTCTACCAATCGCAGCCGTACCCCAGCAGGATCTCGACCCGGCAGTCGCTTGCGTTACTACGATGAACCCGTAGAGGGAGTCATTCACATACCACTGCATACCCCGCCGGAGGAACGTGAAGCTCGAACCCTGCTGCAGGGCATCCAACAGTTGGCCCATGCTGCACAGGCTAGCATGGATCCTTCTCCGCTGCCCACCCACCGAGCTCCTCCCACTTCCGCCCAACCGGTGGCACCGGGAACCCAGATCACGGCCACCCAATTGGCGGCCGCAGCAGCTGCTTTGCGACCGGTGGCCCAAAGGAGGGTAGCCCAAAGACCTGATCTGGATGCCATACAATCGCTGCCCAGCCAAGAGGATCCACCGACAGCTCCTGGAGAAGAGCAGGTGCTCCAGCAGCCGGAACAGACCAACTGGAGTCTGGAGGTTCAGCGACACAGTTCGCAGGACTCGCAGGAGACGACGGCCGAGTCGGTGGGCTCGGTTGTAAGTGCCCGGGCAGCTAATCTTGCCCAGCAACGCGAACAGGCGGCCATGCAGCGATTACCATCGGTTGAGAGCACACAGAGTGCCTGCGAGCCGAGACTGGTGCACACGGTGGCCACTGTGAATGCTCCCAATCCAGATTTAGAGGCAGCTGCCAAGGAGCGAAGGCGTCTGCTCTTCGCCACTCGGTTGGGTTCCGGTAGTCAGGAGCAACTATTTTCCACCCAGTTTAGTATTTCGAAAACCGAAAGTCAATCAAGCCAGCTGTCGGAGCAAGTGGATCACTCTGGCTCTGAAACAACGGAGGGACTGCAGCGTCAGGGAACCGTGATCCGGAGAATGGAGACGGGACCTCCACCGCCACCGCCAAGAGGCGTCTGCAGCTCCGAGGAGGAGCAGGGCGGAGCCATGACCAGCTCAGTGGTGATGCGTTCCAAGCACAAGTCACGACCCAGTTCGGAGGACGAAGCTGCCCCAACGGGTGCGGCTCCAACAGATCTACGTCATTCGCGTTACTTGGAGAACTTCGATGTGCGCCGCAAACTGCACGAGAATCTTACGGACGCGGAGATGGGACGAGTTGCCGAGATGCCAGGTGGTCAGATGACCATACCCAGGAAACCAAAGCGACAGAGTGTCGCCGAATCCAAGCGTAAGTTTTCAAATCTGTTTTCCATTTCGGTTATTTATTTTGATTTTGACCAAATTTTTAACCTTTTTAGGTGAAACCGCAAGCTATAGTTCTGGCACTGCCACGCCCACCACACCCACTCCCACACCAACGCCAGCCACGCCAGTGGGCCAAGCTAGACAGCCATCGACTTCAAGAACTCAGACTCCCACAACGGCAGGAGTACCAGTGACCACTCCACCCGCCGCCGCGGCTAAAGCTAACACTTCCTTTACGGCTCCTCCAGGCACTGCCTTCAATGAGGTCCCAAGCACTTCCTACAGAGATCCAACCAGCACTTCCTACAAGGAACCACCAACTACTTCCATTAGGGAACCATCAAGCACTTATATTAAGGATCAACCAATCACTTCCCATCACGATCCCCTGACCTCTGCCACTCCGGAACACATGCTAACCTCCCCGCCAACAGAACGTCGCCATTCGCAGTCGACAGACGAGCATGAACCCGTCGAGTCCTCGGAGAGTGAAAGGGATTCAGACATGGCCGGTAGCTCCTCGGTGACCACAGCTGTTCCAGCTGGCGGAGAAGCAGGACGACGACATCACAACTTTCCACGTAATGTGTGCGTGATCGAGGAACATGAGAGCACGGGTCTGGTGTCTCAAGAGTCCTTCGAGGACGAACTGCCATATATACCCACCACGCTACCCGAGGAGCGGGCCCAGGGTGTCCCCATTATCCCCATGAGGGAACGAGCTAATATGGAGCTTAAAACTTGTCCAGTGGACAGGCCAAGATCAACTACACCACTGAATCCCTCACATCTCGAGGAGTACTGTACGGGTATCATGACGCCACAGGAGGTTACACCAGGTGGTCATCAGGAAATCGATGGGGTAGCAGGTATGTCCACTGGAAATGGAGGATTGGCAGGACCGGGAGCTCCAGTGCGAGGAGAAAAGCTAAGAATTAGTTTACCCCGCAAGGAGTCCATAGGCAAAGAACGCATCCAGAACTCGAAGTCACCGCGCCGTGTGTCCAATACTAGTGGCAAGTCCTGGTTTGAATTTGCCGAAGAAGGTTTGCGAGCCAATAACAACCTGGAGCGCAAAGACTCCGCCAAACAGTTGCTCCCGGTGGTCACACCACCACCCCCAGCACCATCAACCTTGGAAGAACCGAAGCCAAAGGCCTCAACCCAACGAAAACTTTCTGGTCATTGGATCGACTTTGAGAATATACCCGAAAAAAGGAAGCCAGCCAAGAGGATTACCACCTTGCCCAAGGAGACGTTGACAAGCAGTGTGGCCGCTATGGCCACCACCAGTTCCTCCTCCGCCTGTGGCAGTGGTCATCGATCTGGAACCGGAACTGGCGGCCACCACCATCATCATCATCATCACCATCAGCAGGCTTTAAAAACGAATTCTGATGGTGGGGATAAGCTGCACTACAATTATGTGAAGCCGGAGGACTGCCAGTGCGAGTGTCACGAGGCGGAGCGTGGAGAATCTTCGACAGCAACGGCTGGTGCTGGAGATACTAGTACGGAAACAGGTACTGGAACGGGAACGGGCAGTGAATCGTTGGCCTCTGTGGAAATACTACAGCAGGGGGAAGACATGTTGCCACTCCTGGAACCCGATACCTCAGCGGAGGGCAGGTAAGTGGATCAAAAAATGAAAACCATTCAAAGGGTTAAGTCCTTTTGATCTTTGCAGGATTTATGGCGATGAAGAACAGGCTCCTCTAATGCGTCACAGTGGAAAGACAGTCTCCCATTCCAGAGTAAGTTCTCTCCATCTATTGATTACGAATCTAGATATTTATATTTCTAACATCCCAATTTTAGACCCAACATGAGGAGTTCCCACGTCGCGATGATGGGGCCAGTCCCAGGAATTGGAAGTTTCCCGACAGAAAGTAAACAGCTAGCAAAAAAAGTCTTCGTCTCTCTTTTTTTGGTTCGGACTGGATCGGTTCTTTATATATCTTCAGGGTAGCTAAACCGATAATCTATCTCTATGTAAGTCGAGTCACTAAACTAAGGGCCAGCTTGTCCTCCTGGCCTATATCCTTAATGTACCTCAAGCAGAGTGGTTGTTATACGTGCAGAAGCCGAGGGACACTGATCGCTAGACAATGATGCGTATTACCTTTCGACTCGATTAGCTAATTAATAAACTCTAAAGAAACCAAAAGGAAAAACTTTAAACATACGATAATATGCATACGATATTCCATAGTACTATATACTATATAGCTCATGAATGTACATGGTTAGGGTAATTTTTTTGATAGCAGCAATTACAACATTCACTCTACATAGCAATCCTGAAACGATCCTGACGGTCGCTTTCCATACAAACACTTTTCCCTGGCAATTTTTACTATATGTGATCTCAGATAGAGTGTTATACGTGTGTATGGTAAGACGGTCAAGGCGAGTTGGACATCCGATTGGATTATCTAGCTGTAAGTCGGTGTATTTGTGTGTAGTTTGTTAACTAGCTCAGACAAATCCGGAATCTAGAATATAGAATCTAGAATCAAGAATTTGGAATCCAGAATTTAGATCTCCAGAATCCAGAATCTAGCATCCAGAATCTAGAATCTAGAATCTAGAATCCCTAGGCTTAGTTACTAATCTCTATCTGTATCGGTGTCCGTTTCTATATAGTTGCGTGCGCCTGTGTGTGTGTTGAGGAGGAGATCTAGATCTATATCCCTCTGTATCACCACCACCCCTACCGATTTCGGCCCATATCTCTAGGAGTCTCACAATGGGACATATTAAACGATCTATATAAACGAGTTGTAATCGTTTTCAGTTGGTTATATACAAAAAAGTAGCCTGATTCATAGCCTTTAGTTGAGTTCGAAACGTTAGTTAGTTAGTCAGCACCGATTTATCGGGTTTGTTGTAAATACATAAGTCTAAACTAGATTATTAGATTTGAATTGATTTTCACATTTTTTTTTTTTGTTTTTTTTTTTGCGGTCCAAATGAAAAATTCCGCCACAAATGTTTGTAAACTTTTAAATTAGTTTATTATATATACATATATATAAACATGGAATATAATTATATAGCCAACAAACTGCCAGCACACACACACACTTGCCATAAGAGAAGTTCCTCCTTTTTGTTTTTGGGGTAACCGGTTGAGCAAACCGTGACCCCTGTTCGGTTTATGCGCCCAAACATCACGATACGAAACGAACGATCTATAAAACTAGCTTCAAAGAGAAACCCTAAAGGGATTTCCTGTTAAACACTCTCATAGAACAAAAAGAAAATCCCTCACTAGCTAGCCTTTTGAAATTCCTAAATACTTTATTGAACTTAGCGGACAACGGACATTCATTGAATTGAAGCAAAATCAAGCGAATAAAATTTAAATTAATATTAAAGCTCATAGGTAAATTATACAATAAACATAAAACTACATTGAAAATGTTCAAAGCGGTGAGAACATGAAAGGGAGCTTGATCTATCAAAGAACTGTACGACGAGTTTATCGAAAGAATTTGAGAGCCCGCATATAATCCCAAAAAGATATAACGTAATGGAAATCTTTTTTGTATTTTTTTTTTTTAGTAGCAGAAGTGGTGAAGCACAAAATGCACTTAAAACATATACGATATTTAGACGTAATGACGAAATCAAGCAAGATCTTAACAAATTGTACAATAATTTCCACAATACATTTATGTGAGGTTAAATATATATTCATATATATGGTATATATACAAATCTATATGTATATGCATTTACACATAAGTTGCTTTCCAGTTTCCGAATCTTGTTCTAAATATCTTTTCTAATCGTTTTCGAATAAACTTTTTTTTGTATAACTTAGAAAAACCACGAAAAAAATTGTTGTTAAAAATGCATTTACATTACAAAATGAAGGCGACTCAAGAGCGTTTAAATAAGCAAAGGAATATGAAAAATTGTTACCAAAATTTATGCATTCATACGAAAGAAAAAAAACAAATCAAGATGGATTAAGCAAAAAAGGAAATAAATTAATAAATATATATGTATGCACTTTCATTATTTAACGATTTCATATAGGCGAATGATGATGATGATGATTATGATGAAATGCAGGCAGAACGTTAATTGAAAACTATTCATTAAAGTGACAAAAACATATTTAAACAAACTGTATGTCGTTTTATCTTGGGCCTCTTTTTCGGATATCATCGGGGCTTATCGATTCCGGCACGTTAGCATGCGACTTGGACATGAGAATTGGACTCTTATCGCAATCTGAGGCTTAAAGAGCCCACCGTTGGCAATCGATCATGATTACAGCTATTTAACATGCATATAGGGCTCAGCCGCAAAGCTGCTCTGCGATTTAAGATAACAACTTTGGCCGAATACGTCAAACGCTGACGAAATCCATTTTTGACCTGCAACCAAACCAGCTTTTACTTTTACTTTTTTTTATATAAATCTTTATTAGTCAATTAAACTTAAAAAATCTGTTTTCATATCTTAATTATATTCGCGTTTTGGCGCCACGTGTAAACATGTTGCACTGAGAGTTTCTCTCACTGCGCATGCGCGCTCTCGGAGAGTGAGAGATCTAGCAATACACTTGGAAAAATAATCATAGCAATCTGATAGGTTCGCTGTCAGTTAATGTTAATGAGCATAAAGTCCAATGGTGCGTATGAGAAATAAACTTAATATCTAACAACAGTGCGTATGTTTGATACAAATGTAAAAACTTAAAATTCAAATATTTGTATTATACCCATACCTTTTTCTCAGTGTACTCTCTCGAATGCCGGTCATCGTATAAGTAGAGGCGGCCGAAGCGAGACGGCCTCAAAACGAACAGAACCATTGAACGGTAAAGGTGCGCGCATCAAGACTCTTTCTCACGTAATCGAAAAAGAAGAACAAGTGAAGAACGAAAAACAAAAAAGGAAGAGAAGAAAATCAAAACAAAACGGGAGCAACCACAGCAAGACAGTTTCTTTATTTTTGTTTTGTGTTTTTCGAGAGAGAGGGAGAGCGAAGACAACAGAAAGTGATCGAGATGGCGTTCATGATGCCCGTTATGAAGAACAATTATGATATTTACAAGGACACGCGTTCCCGCAAAACGTCGGAATGTTCCAATGCGAGTAGTAACGGTACAACGGCTTTGGCCACTGCTCTTGGAACGCCCGCACAGGGACAGCAACAACAACATGGTCAGCGGAGACGCAAGGTGTCTGAATGCAAATCGGAAAGTTTCGCCACCTCACCATCGCACGGTCAATTGGGCGTGACCTCCGGCCACCAAAGGATGCAAATGCAGCGGTGTCACAGTTCGCGCGCTTTTCCTCGCAACGCATCACGCAGTTCGCACGGTTCAATGCAACAAATTGTGTCGCCCACGCGCAGCAGTCCGCCCAGCCGTTCACATACTGCTTCTGCACTGGAAAGACAAGCGGCTGCCCAAGCCGCCGCCATAAATCAGAAACAACAACAGACAGCTGGTGGGGAATCTTCTAATGACTATACGAAATTCCATTTGCGATTGGTCGATAAGCTGCGTAAATCCTTTCGTAAGGATAGCGGTAAACGGTCATGAGATCATCGCAGTCATAATCCCAGCAACAGCAACAACAACCACAACTACGACAACAACAACGCCAGCAGCAGTGGCATGGTGCTCCTTTCTATTACCAGCAACAACAACAACAACAACATTAGTACAGAAGAAACTGATGCCATTTCCAGTGGAAGATCGTCTGGTCGAAACTTGAGAGAGAGCAGTACAATAGATGCAGAAAGGAGCGAGAAAGAAACTACTGACTGGATGAATGGAGCATCGTCTTCCATGCGAGTGAGCAACGAAGAAACGAGACCAGCTGCAGCATCCTCATCTTCCAGAGAGCGGGATCGCGGCGTGGTCAGTCGGTTGGGGCGACGCTTTCGACGTTACTGCAAATTCCTGGACACCTCTCACGGCAGAGCGGGGCTTGATGACGAAGCCGAGACCGAGGCGACGGCAGAGGTCAGCTCCATGGAGCAATTAACCGGCAGCAGGAATAGTAGTCGGCGTCGGCGCAGCGGTAGCATTGGAAGCGCTAGCAGCCGGCTTAAAATGCGACTGCGACGCTGCACTTCGTCGCCAGGATAAGAGGGAGATGGATAATTGTGAACCAGGTGGCAGCGACAGAGATAGAGAGAGATAGGAGACTGGAAGTGAAGTGATGAAGGTGCAGCGGCGTAGCCAAAATGGGGGTTACAAAAAGTCACTTAACCTAGTTATTTGCCTTCCCTGAGAAGAGTAGGAAACAGAAATGTGAGTTGGCGTACAGAGTTGTTGGTGCAAATTTGTTTGAGCATAATCTACATATAATCTATAACCAAATCAATTTCGGTGTACATATGCAAACTATTTAAAGATATGCAATACGTATATGAAAACCCAATACAACAAATCAAACTCCCAAATGTATAATTATATTAATTTTATATATTTATGTAGGTCAGGCTTCCAAATAGAACATAGTATATATATGATAGTATCCCAAAATCCAAACCCTCTCCAAATCAAACCAATTTTGTTTTTTGTAACTGCGGAGGAAAACAGAAATTGCAACTGCCAATTGCATTGTATAACGAAAACCACATCAGCAACAACCCAAAACAAGTCAAAACACTTAACGGAATAACCAAACAAACTAGAAAAAGAACCACAGATTTTTACCTTTCATTTTGTAATTGCATAATTACGAAGCGCAATTGACAATATACTTTTAAAAGCATTGCGAACAAACAAAACTAAAATAAAACAAAATTAAATGTAAAATACAAAAAAAAAAACGAAGCAGCTGAAAACAGACTTAAATTATATCGTAAAACATATACACACATCTACTTGTACTAAAAGATAATATATACAAAAATGTACCTAGACGACAGCTACTTTTAAGCAACAAAGTTATTCGTTTTTTTTTTTCTTAGCTAGTAATTTTTGTAATTACACAAAAAACACGGCAAACGAAAAGAGCTAAAAATCTATTACAAAAAAAAACAGAAAACAAATAAATAAAAAGTAACAAAAAATAATATGGAAAAAACCTAAGGACTATGTAATTTCATTTGCACGCGAAAACATTTAAATGTCAGCAGGGGGAGGAAGCGACAGAGAGTGAGAGAGAGAGAGAGCAAGTGAGAGAGAGAAAGAGCAAATTGCAACTGCAGCCAAGTGCGCAGAAAATGCGTTTCGTGGGGAAGGGGATGCCCCCAATTCAGCCACAATTAGACCCACTCTCGACATCTCGCTCACGCCCTTTTTCTCTTTCCCTCGCACACGCTACTCTACATGGGAACGAGGTATGCGGAAGCAGAAGAAGCGCAATGCGAAGAAAGGCAAAAACAACAAAAAGAAAAAGATATTAGCACAGTGATCCCACGTAAAGTAAGCCAGGTATATAAATATATCAGGTATGTACCTATAGATAACCGAAATTTAGGTCTTATAGAAACCCAGAAGATATATTTGCATAAAGAGTGAATACAGTACAGGTAACAAGACAAATGGAGTACTTATAGTACAGTCAAACTTTTAAGAATCTTATATATGTACATATATCATCGAAGAGGGAGATTTAAAACAACAACATGTACCGTGAACATGCACTTACATTTTCTGCGATATTCTATTTTTAAGTGCATTTTTTAATACTTTGTACTTTTTTCATGTTGTAATACTTCGAAACCCTTCCCAATGAGCTAAAAACTAAAGTCAAGTAACTAGTTATTTGTTTAGTTTCGTAATTATTCATTTGGTTACACATTTAACAGCTAAAAACTATAAATAGTTAATAACTATTTAGATAAAACCATCAAAAGTCATTGAGATTTTTTGTATAACCACTAAAAGTTAAAACACCGAAAGCCAAAAAGATTGTATTTTTACGACTGCAATGCGCAGTTGCATATAGACAAAGTATCTGTGGCATCATGGCAGCATGGCATGTTTCACACCGATGCTAATATACCCGAATTGAGAGCGTCACGGCAGCGCCGCAACCTTGACCTTTGGACGTAGCAGCGACGAATTGAATTGCCTGAAACAATTCGGCCTGTGTCATATTATTAAAATCTTTCGGCGAACAAAGGGGCACTCTTCAGGGGACTTTGTGGGGATGCTTTTAGTGCGCCACTGTGTGGCACACATTTAAAATCTATGCAAAGCATACGAGTACACAGAAAAAATGATACGATTCAATTTCAATTAAAAAAATAAATCAAAAGACGATCGAGCAGTGGTCCAAAATGGATGTATAAAGAGAATTCGAAAACTGGACTTTACCCATATGGCTCTCTCTCAGTCTTGATGCGTTGACAATTTTTCAATTTTGATTTGTTATGACTTGCGCATGCAATTATTAAACGAAAATAAATTGAAATTTTAGCATGCAAAACTGGGCATATATGTAATTAATAAACATCTGTTTAATCCAAACGTAACTAATTATAACTGTAATGGAAACTCTAATAGCACCAGATAAACTCAAACACAGTTGCGCTTAATTAATGTTTTTCATTTTATACTTTTTGATTCCATAGGATGAGTTTTTAAACTCAAAACTGTAGTGATTTTGGTACTTTAAGGTTGAGGCCGATCTATTGGCTTCTTATTTGCCAGGCTTATTTGTTTATCCCTCACATTTTGCAGAGTCAGTTGTTATCTTCTGGCTAGATATTCTGGCTCTTTCTAAAACCGGTTCGAGTTGGTTAGCTAACAGATTTTCAACTTCACACGGCCATAAAAGCTGATACGTATTTAGCCATCTAGATATCGCCGTATCCCAGATAGGCTAATGTTATGCCTTTATAAATGTCAATTTTATGATTTAACAACCCTTCATCCGTTTTTGGTCAGATGAATCATTATATAATCCCTTTGACTTGCATTACTCAAAGGGTTCTGATTTGGATGCAATGTAAGTATAGATATATGTAATGCGAGATGCCAATACCCCCTGCATTGACATCGATTATATCACCATTGTTCGTCTGTGGTTGTGCAATTCCTTTCGCCAATGCCAATCGAATATACATATGTGCATCTTTATCTGTCTCTGTACCTCCTCATTGCATTTCCTAGTTGTTTTCTTGTTTTCTCTATTGTCAGCATAAACAATTCACTTGACACAGCATCATAACAAACTTAAAACAACTTGATAGTCGCGGGATATACTCGTATGTATGATTCTTGGTACGAAGATTTGAGAGTCCCTTGGTGGTATTGGAAATTCTACCGTCCTTATAAAAGCAATATTTTTATATATCATGCTTAAACTATTTGTAGAATTATATCTCATTTGGATTGGACCTTGACCTCATCAGACTGTTTTTATTTTCATTAGCTTTTTGTCGGATTCTTCTGCCATTTGCAGTTACTATTATTCGGTTTTCTAAGCAAAGTCCTTGTATTATTTTAGGTAGAATTGCAATGGTTGATTCTTTTCCAACAATCATGTTGTTTCTGCTCTTGCTTTTATTCTTTTTCTGTTCTCTATTTCTCTTTATAGGAATTTGTTGTTGTTTTTTCTATTGTATCTTTTTTGTGTTTCCCAACGTTTCATTCTTTTTTCTATTTGCTAATTTACGAGTCACTTGAAGACGAGTGACAATCGCTTGGCCAAAGGGGGCCAAAAGGGGAGCGAGCTATTGTGTTTTCTATGTTTATGCGAGGCAACAGGTTTTCATTGGAATTAGCCCCCCCGCATGCCCTCACTCTCTTATTTTCCGTTTTTGTATTTTGCGCGTGCCGCATGATGCTGTACTGAACATTTTACTGAACAATTTCCAGTTCGATCCTCTTATAGACGAGATACAATGACGCCAACGATGAAATGTGTTGTTGTACTTAACCCCTGTTTACCCCTTGCCTTTGCTGTAACTATAATAATTCGATTACGTGGTTTGAGTTTTTGCGGTTGGTCAGTTCGGTGATTATCTAATTACAGAAATGTTACAGTTTCTCGATGTAAACACAGATCAACTATTTTGTTTGTCTGGACTGAAAATACTCTTGATCTTTGTCCCATATTGCCTTTGCAAAAGTAGATTACAATTTTCACATTTTGTTTAAAAAGGAAACTTAATCTTTTATCGTGACATTTTTAGGAGTTTATAACTTGATTTCAGTCTATTGTTTGTATTTACAATGAGTAAAATGGTTATATAATTACGTAATAAAATAGTCTTATCGAACTTCAAGAATATACAAAACTCTATTTTCTTATATTTTATATCAAAATAATAATCTGAGTACAGTTGCCCATGCGTTGCTATTTGTTGTTTACGTTTCGTGTGTTAATCTTTTGGCAGCCACTATTGTTTACCCCGATCTGTTGTTTAGCCCAAGATCAAGGTGATGTTGTATAACCCGAATTCCATTGACGTCACACTGACTTTTGCCAAGAGGACCAAGTTTGGTTCTTATCCTGGTGCCAGGGGGTCAAGGGTGAATTGAGGTTTCTTGTTGTTTAGGGTGGGCGTGGGTGTGGGCGACAACTGTCAGCGGGAATTAGCGACCAACTGACGACAGCAAAACAGTCGGAAAGTGGAAAAAGAGATAAGCGCACTTAAGTGTAACCAAAGAGGATAAACGTAACGTACGAAAGGCGAACAAAGAATCCTCCAAGTCGCACAGTGCAACGAAAGATTATAGTCTTCAAGTTAAGCCTATGATCTAGTTGTATTATCGAATTTTTATTAGTTTTGATTTTGATAATCCTTACTTGCATGCTTATTATATGATATATATCTTCATTATTAAACGTAAATCATTTTTCAACAATTTTATCTTACTTAAACCGTAAGCTTCTATATCTATTCAATGTAATAAATAAAAGTCACGTTTCGTTTCCCATTGAAATATATGTACATACATGTATGTGACTCAATCAGAAATCGAGTTAATGTTCTATATTGAACGAGCCGCCCTGAAAAAAAAACGCCCATCTGCATTGTCACTGGAAAATTCCCAAAAACTCATTAGAAAGAGAAGGCAAACCCGAGCAAGGATAACGGGGACGATGGAGGACTGTAGCAGGGTATAAAGGGCGCAGCTTTCGCTCTTCTCATCGATTAAACAACGCGAATGGCGGACGAGGAGAAGGACGCGAAAAGGACCCGTTATCCTGACCTAGTCAAAGTTCGGCTCTCTCTCGCTCTCTCAAGCGCAGTGACATTTACTCTCTGCTGCTCTCCTGCTTTCTGGCCATAAGCGTATAGTGTGTGGAAAATGGAGGGGTCACCCCCACCCTTTTAAAATTAAAAACTTTCTTAAAATTATTTAATTATTGCAAACTCAAAGTGTGTGTTTTAGTAGAAGGAAATTAAGTTGGACTAATTGGATTACCATGTATTGGCAAAATTTATATAATAATCAAATAAACAAACTTTTTCCTCATGTTCATAATGTTAAAAGCTAACAGTGTATAATTTCAAAAAGGTCAGTTTAGCACTGATTGCCGGGTCAAGTGGTGCTATATTGTGGATGACCACATACTGAGAAGCTACTGCAGCAGATAAGAATTATAGATTAAGCTCTAAAATGAGATCGCATATAAAAAGAAGAACAGTTTAAATATTGCGCTTTTCAAAGAATAACGTGCAGGTCTCTGTAACATAAATAAAAAGTAAGAATAGTTCAAACCAGAATCCCGAAAAGTTTTTTGGGACCCCTTCTGCCTACAACTCTGCAGCTTCAGTTATCCTGCTCTCCCATCTCTCCTGTTTTTTTTTACCCTCCATTCCACCCTCTCAATCCTCTGCTCTCTTTTTTTTCAAACGTGTGCAGGAGCACGTAGCCGAAAATGGTGAAATGGAGGAAAAAATAAGCCGGGTTTGGTCCCGTGACCCCTGCGACTTGGCTTTTGGCCTGTGTCAAGGACATTCAACCCGCGACAAGCCTTCGATTAACGGCGTTTATTGATTTCCGTCATGTTGTAATTTTGATGTGGGACTTTCCGGCTTTTTTGTTGTGTATTACTACAGTCAAAGTGCAGGTTTTAAGTGCAAATATAATTGCCCAGGTGAAAATGAATTTTACAAAGTCTTAGCCTTGGCTTTAAGGCGGGGTCAATGATCTCCCCGCCTCCCTTGCCCAATCCCCCCTGGAAATAGTCATGAGATGACTTGAACCAATACTCTGTGTTGTCAATGCTACACAGAAAAAAAACTATCTCTATTTGTTGTTTTGATTCAAATAAAGACTTTAATTTACCAGATTAGTTAAAGGTTTTGTCAAAATACTAATGCCTAGATAAAAATATGAGCTTATCTCATTTTGTTTTCTGTGTACCCAATCGGTTTGTCTCTTTCAACGGCTTGAAAACAGAAACGTGCTACGAATTGGAATACCAAAGGCGGGAGATAAACAAAGCGAACTAAGAGAAGACCGCAAAAAGCATCGAAGCGAGCGCGGCTTAAAGAACGGGTGAGCAAAACAAATGAGCCGAGGGAAAAGAGAAATAAAAAACGCTTCAAGTGAAAGTCGAACATAAAAACAGAAAAGGAAAAGGCAAACAGCAAATTGGTAAGAAATGAAATTGAAGCCAAGCTGCTCTTCTTTGGTATGTTGGCCACAAAAACAACAAGCAGCGACAGCGACGCCGACTGAGAACCACTGTAACCATTTAGGATGGACCGTAATGTTAACTTACAAGAGCATTATCAAATTTAAATAGTTTTTTGAAATTTAGGTATTACGTATTACGTATTACGTTTAAATGGCGTATACGACACGTAAGCCTTATAAACCTATAAAATCTTATCATACTTCTAAAATTTATACAAATACGCAAAGATCATTTTTAAGAATCATTAAGCAGTCTAGAAACACTAAACCAATGATGCTTAACACAAGATATAAATGTCAACACTGCGTATGAGTGATTACAAAATATTGTATTTTTCTATTTAACTTATTATGTTTTTTGTTATTAAAATATTAATTAAAAACAATATGGTCAAGGTCCACCCTAGTGCATTTGCAGCGGCTGAGACAGCATGTTAATAACAGACGCTTCGAAATAATTTTTTTCAGGTTATTTCTGACGCGTTAACACGGCTTGGAACCGCTGGAATTCGAAGTCAGGCGCCGAGCAATTGGACTCCATGGCAGTCAGTTGGCCAAGATCGCGCGAGAGGCTTAGACACACAGTCCAGTAACCAGTAACCTAGTAACTAGTGCTTCAGATCGGTCGCACTAACTGATCAAGTAAATATAGTTAACCGCCCCTGGGAAATGTGCGAAATCGCCACCTGACATCAAGGTAACATCAGTTCCCAGCATTCAAGCAATATCTGCTCATAAAGGCCAAGACAAAAAGGTAAGTTTTTGGTATACAAAAGAAAGTTCAGTACTTTACAGTAATAGAATATTAAAATCATCAATGAATGCTAGGGTTTGGGCTATTTGGTTGAATTATAAATACAACCAGTTGACTGGAAGTGTCTAAATTCCAATGCTTCTTATTCAATTTCCCGCGATAAATCAATAATTTGGGTAGGTTTATTGAAAAAAACAGGTGTTAATTCCATTACCATAGTGAAAGTTCTTATGCTCGAAAGTTGACCGACTTACGAACATTCCATTAATTCAATTATATTTAAACTATTATGAAAAACAAATACAAAACTTATATTTTATAAAGAATAATTAAGAAAGGACTAATAAGTGAAATAATCAATTATCAAACTAAAGAAGAATGTGGTTTCCAAATTAAGAAAAGTTTAGTTGGTTTGATTAATGAATATTTAATAGACTCTCAATCATTTCACACGTTTAGTATATGATGGCTTACCCGATTTTTGAATTGAATATTAACAAGCTTTGAATGATTTGCGAATAAATTATAGAATTTATATATAATTTTAATACCCACTTATGCTAGGTAATTTAGTTAGGAAATTCCCAATATTAACCAGTATCCAAAGTCTAACCATTCTAGGCCCACCTTTGTTAACACTAAATTTGTTTGAGACATTTTTAAATTCTAGTCAACATTGTGATTCCATAAAATTAAATGACTTTTAAATCTAAAATGATTTTCTAGATACGCGCGCAGCGAGCAATTTAAGTGAATTACGAGAAACCAGTTGTTCAGGTGCAAAACCACTCGAGACTGCGGGGTCAGCGGGGCCTTCAACTTGGCCACTCCCCCCCTTGTAAACGCCACCTCCCTTGACTTATTTCTTGTAACCCCCTTTGTAGTGTTACTCCTTACCCCGAACAACGCCCCTGATTTTTTGGACTGCCATTAACTTTCTTTTCTCTCTTTTGTAGAATCGACTGAACCGGAAGATAAGATCATTGAAGCCAAAGAATCACCATCGAATCGATTGCTTAGCCAGCTATGTCGGAGGCTGCCACTCCGCCAGGATCAGTGCCAGGATCAGTATTTCCACCTGGTTTTGATCCCACCGCCGAATCGGCCGAAAAGACTCTGTGTTTCCGTGGCTTTTGGGCCTGGACCGTACTTCTTCTTCTAATTGCACTTGGCATTGCGGTCTTTATGTGGCTACTGCGCAAGTGCATCCAAGGTCCGGCCTACCGGCAAGCCAATCGAATCGATGGCAAAGTGGTGATCGTCACCGGTTGTAATACGGGCATTGGCAAGGAGACGGTCTTGGAATTGGCTAAAAGGGGAGCTCGTATATATATGGCGTGTCGAGATCCCGGACGATGTGAGGCTGCCCGGTTGGAGATCATGGATAGCAGTCGCAACCAACAGCTTTTCAATCGCACCCTGGATCTGGGTTCCCTGCAATCGGTGAGGAACTTTGTGGAACGCTTCAAGGCCGAAGAATCCCGGCTTGATCTTCTGATCAATAATGCTGGGGTCATGGCTTGTCCCAGGACCTTAACAGCCGATGGTTATGAGCAGCAATTTGGCGTCAATCATCTGGGACACTTTCTGCTAACAAATCTTCTTTTGGATCGATTGAAACACAGTTCGCCCAGTCGGATTGTTGTGGTCAGTTCGGCGGCTCATCTTTTCGGACGGATTAACCGAGAGGATTTAATGAGCGAGAAGAAATACGGCAAGTTCTTTGGAGCATACAGTCAGTCAAAACTAGCTAATATTCTGTTCACTCGTAAACTGAGCACGATCCTTAAGGATACCGGGGTTACAGTGAACTGCTGCCATCCGGGCGTAGTGCGCACAGAACTCAATCGTCACTTTGCCGGACCCGGCTGGATGAAGAGCGTTCTCCAGACAGGGTCCCTGTACTTCTTCAAGTCACCAAAGGCGGGTGCTCAGACCTCCCTGAGATTAGCACTAGATCCCAAATTGGAGGGCTCGACTGGTGGTTACTATTCGGACTGCATGCGTTGGCCGTTGGTTCCCTGGGCTCGAAATATGGAAACTGCCGACTGGCTATGGCGGGAAAGTGAAAAACTGGTGGGTCTTCCGCCACTGGAACCACCACCTAGCCAAAGCCCAACCCAAAATGGTAATGGTAGCCAAAATAGTAATGGTAATGGAAGTGCCACTCCCGGCTCTCGGGAAATGCAGTCTGTCGAAACAGTAGTGGTCAACCGTTCGTAGTCGTAGTCAAAGTCCTTGATAAAAGGTTTCAATCCAGTACAGTCCTTGCTCTTAATTTATTCCTTATAATATTGCGTGTTTAAATACCCTTGGGAAGACTTCATGCAATCGACAGTTGAGTTCGTAGCGAAGCCAATTTCGTCAGTTAAAGTTTCTGATTTAAAAAGCAAAATTAATAGGCCAGATTTTCCATGAAAACTGTTTTTTTTTTTTAATTTTCTTAAGTTCTCTAAGGGATTTTTTGATGACGTCGGTCTTTGTGGTGATGGTAGCCTGATTATATCTAAGAAAATGTTGGACGAATATATAAGAAATAAATAAAAACGTTTTATAATATGTACTTAAAAGATAATTAATGATCGACTCAAAGTTCATATTCCCAAGGGTATTTGAGTCTTCGATCATCGAAGCCTAGATTTTCAAACTTATATACCTTTTTTTCTTAGTTTTGTTCTGTACATAATTTTAAGCGAGAGAAACCCCATTAAAATATCTTTTAAACCTGACATGCAATCCTCTTTTGGACTCTCCTTTTTTCGGGTTCCCTGTTCTCCACCATGCATCCCTTTTACACTACCTTTACACACAAAAAAAGGGAAAATGAAAACAATAACAATCAGCATAAAGAGAACAATTTACGACAACAAAGCGAAATCAATGAGAACGCTGACTGCACTGCTGCGTTCTCTGCTGCAGCGGTCGCTGCCACTGCACTGTCCGTGTGCAAGGTAGAGGGTAACAGGGGGACTGGGAAAAGAACGTGAGTAGGTGAGGTGAGTAAGGCAGGTGAGTGCGAGAGTAAGTGAGTCAAACAGTCAGTCAGTTTGTAGGCTTACAGTGGGGAAAATGGTCAAATAAATTAAAAGAAATGTTTCTTAAGGCATCGCAGATAAATTTTAAGAGAACAGACAGCTTTTAATGTGATGAATTTTAAAAATCACTTTTATGTTATTTAATGTTTCATTTTCCAAGACTTAAATCTAGTCAAGGTAATTACACCCACTGTGTACCTGTTCGCTCATCCACATGCCATTAGCATTAACGAAAATCACATAAAGCCAGAAGGAGTGAGAGGAGGCGAATACATCACGAGTGCGAGAAAGAAGGAAACAGTGCAATTAAACCCATGCATGCCCGCGGGGGTCGTTCTGGTGGGCTGGCAATCGGGGTACGCCAAAAAAAGTGAAATCACAAAACCCCAACTGATTGCTCCTCTTTTAAGTCGATCAATTAGCCCCGGCAAATCTAAATGTAACGGGTAATTCATATGCTTTTAATGGACTTGCTCTAAAAAAATTAAGTATAACATCCATTTTGATGTTCCACACTTTCCTTGCTCATTATAATTTTGGTAATTTTGGTAATATATTTCTCACTGAATATTTTTTAATGCAGTTTTAGAATTAGTCAAATTATTTGATAACTTACTGCTTTAGTTTTAAATCATTTTAAATCTTTGCCAATCTAGGGTTAAGGGAAGTCGCTTCAATTACACGAAAAATTGCAATGGAAATTTCCACTCGTGAATGAGTGTCTTTTGATTGCGTGCCACCCGCTTTACCGCCCAGTCAACCCTCCCAAAACCTCCCCCAAACAGCTGTTGCATTGGCTGAAACCTCGGCGCCAAGCGAATTTGATCGATAAGAGGCGGAAAATGAAAGGAGAGAAATTCGAGGGAAACTTTTGTAAAATGACGAAATTGTTGGAAAATGCTGCAGCAGAAAAAAGTAAATTAATACGTAATTTGTGCGGTTGGATAATAAAACGAAATTTAAAAGGTGTTATCTCTGGGGTATCATTATTATAATGCCCCCAAAATACTATGCCAATTTTCCAGAAATTTTCCAGAAATTTCTGGTAATGTGTGGCTCTGCATTCAAATAGGTTTTAATAAAATTGATATAATGAGTTTTCGAACAATCATTAAATTAAACCTCCATGGGAAAGCAGTAATATGATTAGTAACATAAGTTTTTTTTCTCTTTATGTTATTCAAATAATGTTATTCCAAGAAAAAATATGTATGTACATACATACATAGATGCTGAAAACTAGGAAATCGAATTTATGGACTTCAGACTTAATGGGTACACAACATCCCCTACACAGTCATAATTGAAATCAATATGACGATGGAAGATTCAAGAAGCTCGGGGGCCTTATGTAAGCAAAAATGACGCATATGTAGCTAGAGTTCTTCCATCCGTTTCTAGATCAGATCGCAAAGAGTTCTGAAACTGCAAAAATGTAACGATAAGGCCAGAACGCGATACAAGGAATTTCAACCTACCGCAATTTGTTTTATCATTGTATAAATATTTGCTCATATACCATTGTTTAACAAAAAAGAATTTTATGCAATAAAAGCAATTTAATAAGCTTAGGGGAGATTACACCTCCGTATATATACATATATATCTTTAATAATAATTAATAAAATGTATTCCCTCAGGATATATAATATATAATACTATATATGAAATGTATTTTGATGCAATTTGCAATCTCTATTCATTCATCCCAAGGGATACGTATTTTCTAACATTCCCGCGATCGGGTATTAATGATGGTAACGATGGATTGGTAACGGAACCCCCATTGTAGTAATATGTTTATAGTACTTTGGAATTTTGTACTATTCAATGACGCAATTGACTTGGTATATTTAGATTGCAATCTCCAGGCGCTCATGTGTTAGAGCGTCATTAACCCTTTTCCACTCAAAGCAACTATTTGTGTTTACGTAGATACTTCAGTATCTTAAATTCTGGTACACTTACTTACTTTTAATTTCACAATCATGTAAAAGAAAATTCTCGTAGATATTTAAGTTATGATTATTATAACTACTACTATTCTAAGATACATATATAAATATGTAGGTACATAGTGAGTGGGTTAAACAAGCAAAAACTTTCCATTCATGGGAATTTGACTGAATGATCTTCAATTGGCAATCGGCTGAGTCAGTAACGAGCTTTTCCGACATTGTCTATCGATCGTCAATCGGTGATAATTGGTTCAAGGCCGTTTTAGGGGGGTGTCAAGAAGTGACACGACCACTAATAAAAATGCCGAGAAAAACGAGAAAACAATAGATAATTGACAGGCAATGGCCGAACCTTAAGTGCAATTTCTACATATAGCCCCTCTAATTTTAGATGTGAGGCGCTGTAGAATTTTTTAGTGACCATAGTGATCGCAGCCAAAAGCAAAAACTGTTTGGCGACGTGACAAATTTAGTGGCGAAAATGGTCTCGTCGATTTCCCTGACATATTCCACACGGCAGGGCACGTCTTCGTGTCTTTGAACCACCGAAAGTGGGGAAATGGGGCTAAGGGGAGCTCATCCAATGGGAAGATTTGAGTGAAAACAGTCGATCTTTAAGATGTGCGTTTTAATTTTTTTTATCAGAATCTATTCTGAAAACCGTATTTTTGGTCAACAATCGAAATTCTTTTAATTCTTGCTAATATAAGTCATTATTTTGACGATATCAATGCTAAAACTGTATTAGATTTGTATTAGATTTTCATTTTTATGATATTACCGTTATCAGAAATGCGAAAATCCGTTTACCCAGATTTTGTCCTCAAAATGGCAGTATTGTGCCCGTAACTAAGCCAATAATGTTTCGAATTTGAAATATTTATACTTTTTTATCTCCATGCAAAGTTGAAATGTAAACATTTTTGTAATTTTTCGGCCACTATCAATGTAACATTGTTGTATCCCAAATGGGCCACATATAGAATGCAATGCCTCGTTGGTATTGTAATTTGATTAATTTTATAATATATAATTATATAAAGTGTAAGACTAATTAAATAAGCATGTATTACAATGTTTTGTTGTTATATTAACATAGCTTACAAATACCTCTGTAGTGTATTTCAAATATAATCCCTTGCATAAATGCGCGCCATGTTTGTGGCGTTGCCACTATTTGCCAATTATCGATAACATCGTCGACTACAGGGCCGATAGGTAACATCCATTAAAAATACCAGAAATCTACCAAAATCCAACAAAGCACTAAAAAATTCCACACGCAGCGGGCCAGACCGCCACATGCAGCTCTGCTTCCAGTGTCCACCATCTTTGTCAAAGTTGCCACAAAAGTAAAATCGTGACGGACGGCAAATTATAAATTGCATAGTGTTGACTATTGTGGAAAAAACCAGAGGGAAAGGCCGCCAAAAAGAAGTTGGTGAAAAGCAGGCGGGGATTGGATTCCGATTCCAGCTGACCAGACGCTACCGAATCCGTTTCCAGAGGTGCGAGAAAGAGATAGCACGTGGAACGGGCAAAGAGTGTAAGCAGGAAGGGGAAAGAGAAACTGTCAGCCGGAAAAACTGAAAATCGAAGAGGAAAAGAAGCGCTTGTCAAAAATCAGTTGGAATCCACAGATTTCTTCAGCAGGAAATTCTTACTACGCAAATTCGCACATTACAAAGCAGAAATGAATGCCAAGCGTGTAAAGTACACCACGGTAAAGGAGGAAATCGTGCCCGTCCTCATCCAACATGACCCAGAGGCGGACCCCGAAGAGGAGGCCGAAGAAGAAGAGGTTCATGAGCTCGATCATGACGACGAGGGCCAGGAGGCGCAGTACACATATGCCTACGCCACCGCTGAAGATGACGACACCGAAACAGCGGTGGTGACCCTCAGCGATCGGGAGCACGAGGCCCTGGCCAATGCTCAGGAGGTCATCATCGATGAAAATGGGCATGCCGTGACTTTACAGCAGCTGGTAGAAAACAGTACCGTCGAGGAGGTGGAGACCATTGAACAAGGAGACGGCACCCACACCATCCTTCGCATAGTGCCTAATGTACATGACGAAGAGGTCGAGGACGCCGAAGAGGATGAAGACATTGAGGAGGGTGAAGAGCTGGATCATGACGATGAAATCGTGACCGTGGAGCACGAGGAGGGCGATGTCGACGAGGACGAGGATGATGTTGGCTCCATCGTTTTCGAGGGCACCATTGACCAGGCAGAACAGGATCCGCATGCCCGAAACAAGACCTTCTATTGTCCCAATTGCGGCAATTGCTACACTGCCGCTGGTTCTCTAAAACTCCACATGCGCGCCTGCCTGCGGCAAAGAAACGAGGTCTCCACTGAGGATCGTAAGTGCAAAGTTTGCAGCAAGGTTTTCAATTCCGTGGCTTACCTCAAGGAGCACATGATGCGGCACACGGGTGAGCAGCCTTTCCGCTGCACCCGTTGCTATAGAAAGTTCGTTGACGAGGCAAAGTACGCCGCTCATATGGAGTCGCACAAGCACCAGGACAAGCTAGAGGCCGAAGCGGTAGCTCTGGCCGCCCAACACGGTGGCAGAAAGGTGGTGGTGAAGGAATTTCAATGCGCCTTTTGCTCGCAATTCTTTACGGTGGTCTTCGATGTGGGCCAGGTGAAGCGCCGATATGCCTGCGACGCCTGCCGCGACAAATATTCCAATGCGGAAGCACTGCGCCAGCACAAACAGCAGGTGGAGGAGAAACGCGAGTTCAGCTGCGAACGCTGCGGTAGGAAGTTCGTTTTCGAGGGCTTCCTGCAGCGCCATTTGCCCAACTGTGATGGCAGCATCAAGCGACGCAGGGACATGAAGTAGAGGCGGCCGCAACGTGACAGCAACTGGCGGCGACGGCAGCAGCAGCCGGAGGAAGAGGATGAGGAGCAGGAGTCGTCGCCGCCAATGCGTTACGTTGTTATAAAGCAGGAGGAGCACGATGAGTAGCAATAGGATCAGCTGAAGCACTATCTAGATTTTGATGATAACCTGAAGGGAAATCTTGATTAGCAGTCAGAACCACTTGAATCATAACAAGAAGGACCAGTTGCTGGCTATCACAAACGCTTTTTTTTTTTGGGCTGCAACGACATCTTCCTTTAACCAATTCCAATGGAGAGCGCCTTTCTTTTACTTATTTGTAGACATACGTATATGTTATGATTTTGTTGCCACCTTTGCGGCATTAAATGAGAGTTGATCAGCGAACACACACGGATGGCGACGATGGCCAATGTATAGATATATATTACTTACTTTTAATTACGACTACATAATAATAAAGCCCCAAAACACCCGCTATTGTGTAATAACCCCAAACCGAAATGCTGGCACACAAACGAGCGTAAAAATCGATGTTGAATTCAATAAAACACTAAATCAAAAACCTGGTTTTTGAGCATTCCTTTATTGGCATTTTTACAATCCTTAAATGATCATTTGATGATCACATAGGTAAAAATATTTTTTTGTTACTATCCTGTAAATTTAAATTTATTTTGAAAACTATACTGGATTCCCCGTTATCCTGCATTATCCAGTAAATTTGTGTACATAAACAAAATAAATGGGATTCCCCGCTGTGTGCCAACCAAACAACCCATAATTTTTGGCCATTTTTGAGCACTGCTCTTGGGCCATTTTGCAGCTGGACGGCAACGCCCCAAGAAAAACCTCTGGTAACCTCGGTGGTCCAGCACAGGACCAAACATATATACACCAAACACTCCATATTTCAGCCAATCTGATCTGACATTGTAATTGGATGATATTTTAAGCGCTTAGATGGATCTACAAACAAAAAGGAGGAGGCTTAGGCATTAACTAATCCATTAACTAGGCAAATTTAGGACCAGAGCTTCAAGTGGGCACGCTTGGCGTACGACTTCCAGTCGGAGTGGGCATAAAACTCCTTAAAAATTGGCGTGACAAGAGTGTCCTCGGGCAAAGTCTTGAAGACGGGTTCACCGTACCAGGTGCCCACTTCCCAACCGGGAACGTTCTTCATCAGCTCGGCCTCCTCATCCCGATTGCGGCGCAGCTGACGCAGAAATTCACGATCCCGCTCAGCCACCAAAATCGGGAAGATTACATTCTGGGCGGATCGCATCTCGATCTCGTCGCGCTTCACCTTCTTGGCGGTCAAATAGTAGATTCCCAGGCCAACGGCCGTTACAGCCACATAGGCACCGATCGTGGTGAAGCCTGTAGAGAGTTCAGATTGAATATATATAGCCTGACTATAAAAGAATCGGATAAATAAGTCACCTGTAAAGTAGCTCTTCGGCGGCACGCGGGCAAAGGGGATCTTCTTGTAGCCGCCCGGCGGAGGAAGGTCCTGTTTCGGGGGGCAATGCGGCACGGCCGTCGCCATTGTGACTCCTTCTATGGGTTATACTATAGATCAGTCGGATATACCTCCAATAATAAGAACACTTACGATCGAATTAAAGGGAAAAAACCTGTCGAAATGTCAAAAAAATGACGTTTTTTGCATAACACCAAGGCAGTGTGACCAGTTTTTGGATGAGGGAAATTCCAGGTAGCTATGAAATTATATCGATAGACCGTGAATACTATAATTGCGGAAAACTAAATTTAAAAGTACAATTTTATAGCGCGAACTTACGCAGTAAAAATAATTTACTAGACCTGGAAAAGTTTTCAGAACTTGAATTAAAATACTGTTCGACTGTTAGCAATTGAACTGCATATAATCTAGACAGTTCGAATCCATGCCATCTCTAGTTTTATTTGACTTTAATTCTGTCAATTTTTTTTTTTGTTTTACGTCGCTAGGTTTCGTATTCCTTTATTAAACGGAAACCAAATTAAATTGGAATTGAAATATCTAGATATCTATCTATTGAATATCTATATTTTACAAAGTCAGGCACTCATGTTCATCCTACACCTTGTAAACGCTTCTGTGGGCAATTCTTTTCGCCTTCAATGTCGTTTTTTGGCTAAAAAATCCATTTGGGATGCCAAACCATTTGGATTCAGTGGACTTCGCTCCAAACCGGAAGATGCTACTGGAAAACTGAAGGAGCAGCCACAATCGCCTAGTCCTGAACCCTTGCAAACAATTTCGGAAGCCCAGCAACACAAGCACGTGAGTTTTTACAAAAGAATAGGCCAAAACACAAATTTTTTGCTTTGTGTTTTATTAATTAGGTATTAAGTGTAATACGAATTTCGTAATTTAAATTTTAAATGTACTTTCACTTATACTTTAAATTACGCGGTATTTGCGATAGAGATATTAGGTGAGTTCTATAGCAATACGACAGTGTCAGCCACTAGTTTGCAATTCGTGGGAACTTACAAATTCGCAAGTATTTTGTAAGCCAAAAAAATCTTTATGGCCAAAATCAGGTCGCAGGTTTTGTTTACAGTACTTTTTAAACTTTGCCGCCTGAATCTATATCTGTATCTATAAGATAGGTAAATAAGCCGCGTGGGCGTATAGTGCCATATCAGTGAGCCCACCTATAGTGTGACCTAACAACAGCCAAACTCAAAACACCATTGTGTGGGAATTAGCGGGTGTTTTTGGTGCCCGCACGTAGAAAATGCGCGATTGGCGGGCCATTCAGTTGCCGCGCAGCTGCTAGACGAGAAACCCACGAAAAGAACACTTCACTTCCAGAAAAAGGAAAGGCAATTTTTTTCTGTGTGTGTGTGTTTTTCAGTGCGAGAGGGATTTTCTAGCCAAGGCGAAAGTGTTTTTCTTCTACTCGCAGCCGTACGTAATCGCATTGCCATGTCGCTCTATCGCATTTCCGCACGCAAATTGTCTGAGGCACAGGTGAGTTTTCGACTAAATTTTTCTTTTTGTTCAGTGTATAATGCCCATGGTTCTGAGATGTTCCCATTTTCCATTTCTTCCTATCGCCCCAGTTTGATAACTGTATTATGTGTCGTTTTTGTTGTTAACATCTCCTAAATATTCTTATCCTACTCCTCCTTCCTCCTCTTCTCTTCTTCTTCAACACACGTCACGCTGGAATAATAAAAAAAAAAGAATTTCCAGCCATGTGCTTGCGATTAAGAAACTTTATTCGCTTCATTGTTGTTGGCAAATGATAAGTGCCGCTGGGTGTGTATGCATGTGTGTTTTGTTCTAATACATTACATAATCGCCAAATGAAATTCGCCCATTTCCTTTTTTTTGGCAAGATCAGAATGCCTCTAAAAATAAAATTTTTTGGGTTTAACGAACTCATCTCTTTGACCCACCCAATTTCTTTGATTTTTTGGTAAATTTCCACAAGTCCGGCTTACCTTCTGTTGTTGGCCTTATTTCTTGTAAATTTACAACAACAAAAACAAATGCCACGGCGCAGAGCGAAATTAATAAAAAGAGAGTAGGAGAGAGAAATGGAGAGGAAAAAACAGAGAGAATACCATTTTTCCCTCTCTTTTGTTCCGTTTCCAATGCGTGTCACGTTATTTTTGTTGTTGCCAAAAAAGAAAGACAAAAGAAAAAATTCATCCCATCTCGTTCTTGCCATAGAGAAGTGTCCGTCGAATGACCTTAAAGAAAAATAAGGAGCATCACCCTCACTTAACACCACCCACCACCGCCCACCGGCAATGCACATTTGCATGTGTATGGATTGCATAATGCTAAAAAAAAGCGGCAAAGAAAAGAATCTCCGATTTGATAATTGAAAAATCAATATCATACACATAAAACTTGGCTTGCACACATACACACGAAAAAAGGGCTCGCAAGGACGAGCCTCCTTTTGGTATTCCTCTCGGGGATGTTTTCATTTTTCTTTGACCTGCGTTGGGTAATATCTACACGGGAAAAAAACAATGTTCCTTTCTCCAATTTGTTAGGGATGAAGGATTTTTAGAAATGTTACTGAACTATATAAATGTTTTTTCAAAAGTTAATTTACATATATTATGGCATTAGAATTCTAAAATCAAGCTAGTAAGACATTCATAACAAATACCATTTAGATTAATTGGTTTTTTTTTAACTAAAAATGTTTTTCAATAAATCCCGTGTATATTTGCTAAATGTTATGCACACTCCTGATTCTTGTTCTGCCAGCGCTGGCAGAGTGCCAAAATAAAAACGCTGACGTCGGCAGAGACGTTTCTTAGTGTTTAGACGTTTACTTGTTTTGTCTAAAAATAATTGTTGTAAATGTTAAGCTACTAAGGCCTTTGGCCATCCGGTTAATTTGTTAGTAGTCAGCCACTAAAACTTATTGAGTTTCATAAAAAATTTGGTGTTTTTTGTTTTAATAATTTTAAGCAAGCAATTAGCGAATATGCCTTTTTTTTGCTTGGTGTTTTAGCCGAGAAGAAAAAAGAATGAAATGTTGTTTTATTTGCGTTTGACGTAGCTTGACGAAATGGCAACACGCGAATTTTTTTTATCGCCTCTCTGCTAATACGTCACAAATCGTGACGATTCTTACGTAACGCCGCCAGCGGCCCTTTTTCATTTTTCCAAACAAACTACACAGAGAGAGAGTAGAAAGTAAAGAGAGTGTGTTATAAAGAAGCAAAGGAAAAAAGCGGAAAAAGTAAACAGATGATCGAGCGATTGCATAAGAGCAGATGCATAATTTATACTCTATATAGACATATGTACACATATGTTTGTATATTAAGTTTTACGGCCGCAGCGCATTTTTTGATTAGGGAATCTAAATCGGGACTTTTTATGACTAGTGTCCAAAGCTCAAGTGGACCTTTTCCACCTGGATTACCATTCCAGAATTCTAGTTATGCGCGAGATAACGCCGGTTAGCCGGGCGTCATGGAAAATTTGAGGATCTCGAGATATGAAGATAAAGAAAGGGGCTTGAAATCATCGCATCGATGTGGGGGGCGTATCATGTGATTTGAACTAATAGTTAGCACTATATTAAACCAAACCATTTTTATTGGTAAGCCCCCAAAAAAAAACTTATTACCATTCCATATTTATCGTTGAAGTAATAAATAATAAGTAAAACCTTCATATAATGCAATTTCCTATCAATAAAACTAAGCTTTTGGTTATCAGCATAGGGTTTATTCTCCCACCAATATTTATTTTATTGGCCAAACTTTACATATTATGTTCACATACATGCGTATATGTATATATTTATTATATTATGGGTTTAATATTCAACCGATTGCAATAGCTATTCTACTACACAAATGCCATAAACTAATATGTTTTAATCTTTGGCTTATGCAATTCAAATGCCACTATAAAAATGTCACCTTGTGAGACAGTCCTTTGTTAAATCAATTTAAATGTTTTGCAAAAATGTGAATATTGAATACTATTCTGTATTTGTTGCAAATTAAATTTAATAATGTGGCTAAATCGATGAGAGAATATCAACATTGTTGATAATTGATTTCTCGAGTACCACTTCCCTTGTTCTTCTACGTTAACCGCCTATATTCGTTAGTGCCCCGCCCCTGTATCTCTATATATGTGCTCGTATACAATATAAACCCCCTTGTAACCCCCTCTATTTGGGACTGATAAGCGTGACAAATTTGCTGCTGGGCACATGATCGGTAGACGTCGCCATATCGCTGATAAAGCGGACACGCAAAGCCCCCCAACCAACTGGGAATAAGGTGTTAACTCAATCAGTTTTTTATTTTGTTCGTGATAAAAAAAATGGCCAAATATTTGTGTTTATATTTAGGCAATTTCGCAATGCGCAAATTCGTCCAGGGTTCTACTTCTCTACTAGCAAGTTTGTCGCCAGAAAATACATAAATATTTACGACCATCCAAAGCCTAGCTTAATGGACGGGACCTACTTAAAAGGTACAAATATTTCGGAATGATTGATCGGCTGCCCAGTCCATTGTGTCATAATAATCGAAATGTTATAGTTACTAATAGTAACTAATGGTACTAATGATAAGTTCTGTTCTTTATCATCAAATAATATTCTTCTTCTCTCAACTCAACTTAGACCCAAACTCTAACCAGTTTAATATGCAAATTTGTTTCCAATTACAACACAAACCCCTTATATTCTCGCAAAAGCCCCATTATGGTTTTGGCTTAGTCAGAATTTTTTTTTTACAGCTTTTAAATGACTGAAGGGAAAAATCCGACCCGGCAACAACAGTCCAGTCGTCGTCTGAAGTTTGTTCAACTGAACCGATCCGATCCCATCCGAGTTACGTTAAGTTGTGTTGAGCTGAGTGACGGTATTACGTCACGCGGTACTTTCAATGCGATCCGATTGTGTGATGTGTGTTTACTTTCGGCGTCTGTGGCGGGGATACACAATAAAAAATATATAGAGAATGGCGAATACAGCGCACTAAACTTAATTAAGACGATTAACTCGGACTGCAATTATTATTAGACAACTGACAAGCGGTCTCTAATAGCAGAAATCATCAAAGTGAATTGAAAACGTCACGCGAGCCAAGGAGAACCCAAGGTTCTAAAATCCACAGCCCCTTTGAAAACCTCCCCCCTAACCCCATCTCATTGCATTGCAGTGGGGATCAAACAGTTTTCGTGATGATCATTCAAATGCCATTAAATTTGAACTACAGTCATTGCTCACATTTTACATTCAATTGGAGTTCATTTCAAATTTATATTTTTTTTCAATCTCTTATGTAATGGCCAAAATTGGCCCATTTAATATAATTCGGGGCTTTGAGCAAATGATTACTTTAAATATGAACTTCCTGACGAGTTGTTACTGTAGTCTGGGTGTGGGAACACTTGATTCCATCTCCATCGACGGGGTCATCGGCGGCTCACCTCGATGACAACTCTGCTCTGTTCTCGTGGCTCGAGGCTTTCCCGGGTTTTTCAAGGTCCCCTGTTTTCGCACTAAAATACGAGTATATAGTTTCCATGGGCTATATATTGCATAATTACTATATCAGTCGAACGTTTGGAGCAGCGAAAGGAAGTCTGCCGGCGCCGTCAAAACACGCGACTCCCAGAAACCAAAACCAAATCGCTTCCTTGATGACAATGCAAAGCGGCAACAACGACTACGACTAGTTAGACATGCGATAATTGCCGGCGCGTGAGACCTTGAAAATTCATTTGGAATACTTTGCCCATTCTCGTAGGCTCTTGGCTTATCAGCAGATGAACGCACGCCTCTGCGACAGATAATGATTTCTCGAATTGTATACAAATGTATTCTCGCTCCAACTTGAGGCTCATTCCAAGTCAAGTACCCCACCCCAACCGACATATAAAGAATGAAGCATAGTGATAAGATAGCAGTTTGGCATAGTCAGTGTGGTGCGTGTGGTCATTACGTTTCGATTTTAGGTGTTATGCAAGCGCAAGTCTTTCTCCAACATTTAAACTAGAAACACAAACCGCACAATTGACAGCTCAATTAGCATTTTCTTGGTGGAAATGTAGTCCTATTCTTTGCGGTTTGATGCACCGGCAACAAAACGTCGTTTTTCACGCTGAGTTTCCGATTTCAGACTACACAGCAAGAAAATGAGACCAGTTGTTTTTGTTTTCTTTTTGTAATTTTGATGAATTTAAGTTCCTATATCCTAAGATTTGGCCAATCTAAACCTATATCAGATTCGAAAGTGTAATTTACTACTCAATGTTTTGATTCGTAAATCTCAGTCACATTGGTTTTCCCCCAGTGATTCCCTTGTGGTATCGGAAACCAACACTTGTGGTTGGCTGGCAACAACCAACTTTACCAACCGCCCCTCTTTTTTTAAGTGATATCAACCTGTTTTTGGTACGTTACTCGGGTATTATCGGCAATTAATATGTACGTCGGGCTGGCCAAAACGTTGCTTTGTTTATCAATGAATATGGGACTTTATGTTGGAGAAAACCGGTCGCCAAATGGTCAGCAAATCATGCAATTCAATTTTGCAGGCGGCGCCACAAGTTCAGTTGGTTAATTGAATTTGTTGACCCACTGGCCGCGCACAACCAGAGGAATAAAAAAAAAAATCCGAGAGGTTTGGGGTTGGGGAAAATGAGGGGGCTACGGCTGTCAATCAAAAGTGGAATCGCACTTTGCGCCTGCCGAGCGAAATCGGAATTGAAAATGGACTCTCGGGCTGGAAGCGCGGCTCGGAATTCCATTTCCATTTCGTTTCGTTTTATTTGACAAATGCCAACGCGTGGCAAAAGATCAGCAGAGCCGTACTATAAAAGGGAGTTCAATATTCCATTTTAATACACATATATATTGTAAAAAACTTACATTTTCCCAGTAATGTTTCTCTCGTGTTTTCGGTTAAATGTTTAGGATCTGATGGATCTTTAGCTAGTTAGATAATGATCCTTTTCAAAACCTAAGAAATTATTGGGCTTAAATATATGAAGATATCATAATACACTTTTTTACTGGAGATATCCCTCTAACTACGCCCCAAAGCGAATATATCAACTGATCTTAAAATGATTTCTTTTTGCATCTGTCTTTTTGACATGAGCCTTTGTCGCGTTCTGATCTCCCATGTGGCGACTTCCGAAAAACCAAAAAAAAAAAAAATAAATAAATAAATAAGAAAAAACATGAGATTGATTCAGGTGTTGTGGGCGGTTCAGTGAACCGGCAATTAAGTTGAATTAAATTAAAAGCCGGCAAATGTTTGTGCCACACAGTTCGTCAAACCCGTGGGGAACTAGTTCGTTGACGCACCACTAGGTTGAGTCATGGCAATGTTGTTGAAAATGTTGACATAACGACGAACGAGTGCAGCTTTATCAGCCGAGCTCAGACTGCCACACAGACGGGGAATGCATGTGCGTTTTGCCTTGTACTTGAAAGCCCCCTTCAATGACAGGCAAATCAGCCGATTGCAATCGATAGCATTGATCGGAAGTGCTCGTTAGTTAAGTTGTCAGACTTTTGTCGAATTAGCGGGATTGTTTATGTGCTTTTGTTGTATTTATTGTCCCTTCTAATCAACCAAAAAGACACATATGTATGTCCCATATGTTGATTTAAGCAACTGTTCTCATGTTTGCTTTAAGATTGTATTTAATTTGAACAGAAAATGTTACAGACTTCTCGATATTTACTGTTATGCCCCATAAAATGATTAACAAAGAGATTTCCTACGCACTTTTCTGTGTAGTTATACTTTTGTTTACACATTTTAACGATAGCCATTTTATACACGTTTTGATTAATACTCACCCAAAATAATTGTAAAAACTGGTTGTCTTTGTTTAAATATAACCCAATGTGATTTTATCCAAATGTAAATTCCCCCCAAGCTCAAGTGATTTTCAAGAAACATCTAAAATCCCTGCATCTCTCTCAGTCTTATTATCTTTGTATATAAAATCCTACAAAAAAAGACTCTAAACTCAAACTGTTTCCTCCTTAAATTCCTTTCAGAAACTGCCAAATGTGGGTTCCTACGTTCGTATGATCTCTGCCGATGGCAAGAGCCTGCGTGACGTGTTGACCGCCAAGGTGCCACAGGAGCAGGAGCGCGTGAAGAACTTCCGCAAGCAGCATGGCGCTACCAAGATGGGCGAGACGACCATCGACATGATGTACGGTGGCATGCGCGGCATCAAGGCCCTGGTTACCGAGACATCGGTGCTGGATGCGGATGAGGGTATCCGTTTCCGTGGCCTCTCCATTCCCGAGTGCCAAAAGGTCCTGCCCGCTGCCGATGGCGGCACTGAGCCTCTGCCTGAGGGTCTCTTCTGGCTGCTGCTGACTGGTGAGGTGCCCACCAAGGCCCAGGTCCAACAGCTGTCCCGCGAATGGGCCGAACGTGCTGCCCTGCCCCAGCATGTGGTCACCATGTTGAACAACATGCCAACCACTCTGCACCCAATGTCGCAGTTCGCCGCTGCCGTTACCGCTCTGAATCACGACAGCAAGTTTGCCAAGGCCTACTCTGATGGTGTGCACAAGAGCAAGTACTGGGAGTACGTCTATGAGGACAGCATGGATCTGATTGCCAAGCTTCCCGTGGTTGCTGCCACCATCTACTGCAATACCTACCGCGGCGGCAAGGGCTCCCGTTCGATCGACTCCAACCTGGATTGGTCGGCCAACTTTGTCAAGATGCTCGGCTATGACAATGCTCCCTTCACTGAGCTGATGCGTCTGTATCTGACCATCCACAGTGACCACGAGGGTGGAAACGTGTCCGCTCACACTGTTCACTTGGTGGGCTCTGCCCTCAGCGATCCCTACCTGTCCTTCGCCGCCGGCCTGAACGGTTTGGCTGGTCCTCTGCACGGTCTGGCCAACCAGGAGGTGCTCGTGTGGCTGCGCAAGCTGCAGAAGGAGGCCGGTAACAACCCCTCAGAGGAGCAGCTCAAGGAGTACATCTGGAAGACCCTGAAGTCAGGACAGGTAAGAGTTTCTTTTTTTATTATTTGTTGTCCAAAAAGTTAGAAAATGCGAGATGTATATTCACCTTTGCGTTGTCCATTTTATATAATTATGAAAACAGAAATGCGTATGGCGAGCAAACACTCGAAAACATTCAAAACAAAAATAATGACCATTAATTAAACTTTTCTATATATTTTCGTTGAGCATTTCTGTTGGCATGAATAATTTCGTATTTTTGGATCCGCCTTAAAAATGTTTGTTTTATGGTCAAAATAAACTTGGTGCAGTTATTATGCCATTTGTATATATAATTCGATTATCTTACTCTAGTATAATATATTAATCAATTTATTTTTTTTTTTTCCAATTTTCTAGGTTGTTCCCGGCTACGGACATGCTGTGCTCCGCAAGACCGATCCCCGCTACACTTGCCAGCGTGAGTTCGCGTTGAAGCACCTGCCCGATGACGAGACGTTCCAGCTGGTGTCCAAGATCTACAAGGTGGTGCCCCCAATCCTGACCGAGACCGGCAAGGTGAAGAACCCCTGGCCCAATGTAGATGCCCATTCCGGTGTCCTGCTGCAATACTACGGCATGAAGGAGATGAACTACTACACCGTGCTGTTCGGCGTTTCCCGTGCCCTCGGCGTGTTGGCTTCCCTCGTTTGGGATCGTGCCCTCGGCCTGCCCATCGAGCGCCCCAAGTCGTTCTCCACCGATCTGCTGGTCAAGATGGTCCAGAAGTAAGCAACTGGATGAGCAGAAGGAGCGGGAGGAGCTGGAGTTCAACCTTTTATAGCCAGAAGATTATGGACGAAGGATGCAGAAGCTGTAGATTGTAATTGACGAGGGCAGAGGGAGAGATATTCGATTGAATTGGATTAGGATTGGATATCGATATGACGACGCTGATATTGAGAGAGTTGGATATGTGTAGTTGAGGAGAACAGCAACCAAATACGAACCAATAGGACAAAAAATTAAAAAAATAACCAGAAGAAAACTGCAACACACTGCAACCGCAAAACAATAAGTTGGAAATAAGGCAGAAACTTATTTTTAGTAGTAAAATAATTAACGAAGAGAAACCAACAAGCAACCACTTAATTGTATAAGCTATATATATATATAAAAACGATTGACTATATATATAGGGACAGGCAAAGAGAGAAAAATTGTTTGCGCCTATTGTTTTTGTTCAGCATTTCCCCCGCCCAAGACCACCCGAAAACACCCACTATTCCCAATCTTTATTAAGTTTGTTATGTTTTCATCTTAGCTGATCGACTAACCAAGACCTTAATACTTTATCCCCTTAAACGCCCGACCCACCAGCACCACCCCGCCTGAAAACCTTAAAAAATTACTAACTTGATAACATTTTACTTTTAATTTAACTATAATTTATTATGCAAACAAGATACAAACAAGAGAAATACAATACAAAAACAAGTGTAAAGAAACCAACAAAAACATTTAAAAAAAACTCAATAAAAAACAGAACAATAAATAATATAATGCATAAAGAGTAGTTATTGCCAACTCCATCAGTGGAAGCTGCAAAAGCGTTAGTTCATGGCCATGCAAGTGTATTCGAGAAAGCAAACCCACAATAAACCTTAGCAAACTTGAATCGAAGATCGTGTGTCCATTTTCAGAGCAGAAGGGTGCGACAAAGATTCGTGACAAATTTGCCGGAATTTGAGTAATTTTCCCTGGCGGTGTGACCAAAGTTGCGGCCCTTCCGCCATCGGTGTGGCCAAAGCTGCATGTGCTGCACTAGTCACATACTTTCGATAGGTGATTAATTTTAACACATGTTGTGTATGTTTTCACCAATTGAATTCAATTTCGGTTAGTTATCTTGCTCCCAAAAGATGTTCGAAAACACTGAAAATGTGCAAATTTATTAATAAAACAAGCAAATATACTCGGAATGAAATAAATTTAACATTTCTCTTAAAACTCGTAAAGTTTCTTGTGTTTGTTTGGTTGGAATTTTAATTGAACTTTTTATTTTGGTTAAACATGCACATATTTTGGTTGACTAAATACTTTTGCCATAAAAAATGATCACTACATAGATAAACTTAACGCGACATAAAATAACAAGAAATGATAATACAATAATAAATTAATAAAAAAGAAAACGTATTATCGCCGGTTCCTTGGATCTGTGAACTCCTCCTCTGGCATAAGGGGCAATCCTACCGTATAGGAATTGCTAGTATTCAATGGGTCATTATTTCTGCATCGGACGCAGGGGCCCAAGAATCTGAGCATCCGACTGCCAATGGTGGTCCTCTTACTGCCGAAGCGGACATGGGACTGTGCTAACGAATGGACTAGCAACTGTGCCTGACTATCGTTGATACTTTGATTTTGACTCGTATTCTGACTCTGATTCTGGGCGAGATTAATACCTAGCACCTCGATAACCCGATTATTGCGCTTGTCGAAGTAATAGATGCCCTCGCGATGACCACTCCACTGTCTGGAAGTGGCTCGCTCCTCCTCGTGGCCCTCCACCTCGATGGCCGAGTCGTTGCTGCTCGGCTGACTGCTCTCCGAATTGTTGGGCGCAGGGGCTCTTCTAGCCAGGGCCCTGGATGAGGAGCCTGGGGCCTCGCCTTTGACATGGACCGAGATAATAGATGAGTATTAAAAAGTATAGGGTTCATAAAAATATAATCTCACCTGTTACGTGCCCATCTCCCTCACCGCTAACACTGCTGAAGTCCAAGGACTGTGGATGAATGACTCTTTTGGACTGACCAAGAGTCTGAGGAATTCGAACAGCGGGTCCCACACTGAGCAGGGCCATCTCGATGGATCCATCGCTGCTGTTGTAGGTGACATTGTTTAATGGGTGAGGCGTGACCAATGCATTTTCGGAGGAGATAGTGGCCACCGAAAATTCCGTTTGGGTGGCCTTGGAAATACCCATCGGCGGCCAGGAGTTCAAAGAACGGAGCGAGTGGCTCTGATGGCGCTTAAGCTTCTGCTGGCAATCGCTTAGCTCAGTACGTAAGGTCTCGAAATTTCGCTTGACCTGAAGGAGATCGGCCACCTTTTTGTCAAGGCGTAATTGCACATAGTCGTTGTAGGCCTGCAAGCGATCCTTATCCTGCTGCAGGCTCTCGTTCTCGGCCAGCAATCGCTCATAGCTACAGCTAGAGTTGGGATTGGAATTGCAGTTTGAGTTGGAGTGGGAGTTATCATCCATCTTAAAGTGACTATCGTGGCCATTGACCCGCTGCGAAGTTGGCGTTAGGTATTCTGGCATAGAGCTGTGCCGTTGGAAGCCAGAACCCGACGCACTGCGTCGCTTTTGGTCCTGGGATTGCATCTCTGCTATGTACTGGCCCACCTTGCTGGCTACATGCTTGAAACGGCGCTTTGTGTAAGCCGAGTGTATATCCTGGTAGGACACCGATTTGCTCCCGCGGCCGTTTCTCAGGGGAGCCTTCTCGCCACTCAACTGGCCATCACCACCTGTCCAAATAATCGGAAAATATAAATATTATTTTGACAACGAAGTGAGAAAAGGACTGCATAAGGGCAATATTACCGTCATCAATATCATCATCTTCCTCATCTTCTCGACCCACGGGATCGCTTACACATGTTTTGGCGCTCTTGTTTGCCACATCCGCATCCCCATCCGGATCCCCATCTGCGTAACAGATTTCCAAAAATGGCGACGCATTCCGCTCAAAGGCGGCCGGCTGATGATGTTCCGAAAACCAGGTGTTTCTGGAGCCCAGACTACTTAAATTATTCAACTGGTCAAAAAGCTCATCTGCTGGAAAACTCTCGTCCTGCAGACTCATTCTTTGGCACAGGAAACGTGTAAAAGCGGTGAAATATAAGACAAGGAAAACGACACAAATCCAATGACAATTGGAATCCAACTAGCGCGGGAAAAGCACCGTTACGTTGGCTAATTGGAATGTTTCTGGTGTGACCATCAAACTAAGTAAGTTTGTGTATATAAATAAAATTCAATTAAAACAACTTCTTAAATATCTGATAGACCTAAATTAGCCATTCGGTTATATTTATTTTTATAATTTAAAAAATATCAAACAAAACCACAACTTGGTAATTTCCGATTGGCATGATAATATACTAAAAACACGAACCCTTCGAAAAATACATTAGAGCTGGCGGCAGCACACAACGATAGTCGGCCACACTTATCATGTTACATCATGTGCATTTTTAAATACAAAATTTAATAATATTAACTAAATTTCGTGAAATTGCCTCATTGAAAGAATTGCATCTGAAAGCCAACCCGAAATGTACAGTTATTGGGAGATTAAGATAAGCTTTCCACGCATTTCAATTTGAATACAAAGCAGCTGAGGGACAACAACAAAAAAAGAACCGGAGAGGAAAATAAATATAAATATAAAACAAATATAAATATGAGCGAGAGTGGCAATAATCAGGTTAGTTGATAGAGCGAGAGGGTAGAATAAACTTTATCAATTCGATTTACGCACACCAATGCAAATTGTCAAAAAGAAAAAACCGAAAAAAACATTAGATTATATTATTTTTCGCCTGTGTTTGTTGCAGCGCAATTGGACCACGTGTGTGTGTGTGTGCAATTTGCGTTGCGGTATTTTCCTTTTCGCCATAACAGTGCACCCTTGAAAAGATGAACTAATAACTTTAGTTGCTGTCGAAATATTCGAACTTTACTGTGTACACTTCATAGAAATTACATTGAGAGATCCTGGAAGTCTTAAAAAGATTAAAATCAGGCTTAGAAAATATTTAGTATTGTTAAAACTCTTTTAGATGTGAAAGCTCATCCCTCAAGTGCGCACTGTGTTATTCATTATATTTTTCATTTCGTTTTACCTTTGGTGTCATAATTTTTCATTTAATTTCATTTCAGTTTTGTGACGTTGATTTTTAAGCAAAGACCCTAAAAAGCAAAATAACACACAAGAAACAAAGTTATTTGAGTTTTGAAGTTTTGGTGGAGGAGGAGCGAATCTGAAACCGAATCCTTAGGCTGCATACCTTTTGTTTTGTATCGCAATTCTCTTCTTCCCCAAAAAAACAAAAACATAAATTGCACCGATCTGCAAATCCAACCGAATCTTAAACCGGATCCCGAAATGGCGGCCTACTTGAACCGCACCATCTCGCTGGTTACCGGGCAAACGGGCCCCAACGATGATGACCGTCACTCTTCATCGACGGATACGGTGGATAAATCTGGACCCGGATCCCCATTATCCCGACTCAATTCATCGCTGCAACCTTCGGGCTCCACAACGGCTGCCAATTTGGTGCCGGAATCACGGCTTTATCAATCCAATGACAAATCGCCGCTCCAGATCTTCGTGCGCGCCAAAAAGAAGATCAACGACATCTATGGGGAGATCGAGGAGTACGTCCACGAGACGACCACGTTCATCAACGGTGAGTTGTAATATCTTAAAAAACGGTTGCTGGAAACCAGAATATAATATGTCTAACCTTTGCAAGACTAGCAGATAAGTTGGGGAATAATGATTTTAACTTTGGATGATATCTTCTTTGGTTAAATACCTCCTAAACTAATATTAACTATATTTCTAGCTTTACATGCAGAGGCCGAGATCGTGGACAAAGCAGAGCGGGAGCTTTTCGAGAGCTACGTTAACAAAGTGGCCGCCATTCGCGAGGTCCTGCAGCGAGATCACATGAAGGTGGCCTTTTTCGGGCGCACTTCCAACGGCAAGAGCTCGGTGATCAATGCCATGTTGCGCGAGAAGATTCTACCTAGCGGCATTGGGCATACCACGAATTGCTTTTGTCAAGTGGAGGGCAGCAATGGTGGCGAGGCGTATCTGATGAAGGAGGGATCCGATGAGAAGCTAAATGTAGTGGTAAGTGGTATCCCAAATATTAGAAATATAGTTGGCTTCATAATCTCCCTTAACCGCAGAACATCAAACAACTGGCGAATGCTTTATGCCAGGAGAAACTAAGCGAGAGCAGTTTGGTGCGGATATTCTGGCCCAGGGAGCGGTGCAGCCTGCTTCGCGATGATGTCGTCTTTGTGGACTCACCTGGCGTGGATGTATCGGCGAATTTGGATGACTGGATAGACAACCATTGCCTTAATGCCGATGTCTTCGTACTGGTCCTGAATGCTGAGTCCACCATGACGCGTGCGGAAAAACAGTTCTTTCACACCGTCTCCCAGAAACTGAGCAAGCCAAACATCTTTATTCTGAACAATCGTTGGGATGCCTCGGCTAACGAACCCGAGTGCCAGGAGTCGGTACGGTCTTTTTGAAATCCCCTTTATTTAGTCAATAGTCTCTTTCAGACCCTGCATTTTTATTACATGGTAATCGAATCATTGCCTTCTCTTTTACTTGCCTGGTAATGATTCGTTTACAAGCAGGGTTCTCTGCCACAACTTTCACCTCTTTGTATACCTGTTGTCTCTCTTTGTTGATGTGTCTTTTATTTTTGTTTATTACCCAACCAAATCAATCAAACAACTATCCACTGTATTCAACGCCAGGAATTGGCTAAGGTAATGAATGAGCTAGACCCAGTAAAATGAGCTGCTTGCTTGGTCCCTAAACAACCCATCCACTCTGCTTCTGTGACAAATCAAACTTCGGCCGTAGCCGATGAATTTCCTTGTTTATTTCCCTCTTTCCACTTTGGCTGACCCTTTAGCGATTATGAGATTCCTATTCTAATGGATTTGTTTCAACTCATGATAGGTTAAATCTCAGCATACGGAGCGCTGCATCGATTTCCTTACCAAGGAGCTAAAGGTTAGCAACGAGAAGGAAGCAGCTGAGAGGGTTTTCTTCGTTTCCGCCAGGGAAACACTACAGGCGCGCATCGAGGAGGCCAAGGGTAATCCACCGCATATGGGTGCCATTGCCGAGGGATTCCAGATCCGCTACTTTGAGTTCCAGGACTTTGAGCGGAAGTTTGAAGAGTGTATCTCGCAGAGTGCCGTGAAAACTAAGTTCCAGCAGCACAGTTCGCGTGGCAAGAGTGTTTCCGGGGACATGAAGTCGATGTTGGACAATATCTACGAAAGGATTACCATATTCCGAAACCTAAAGCAGGATCAAAAGAACATGCTCACCGAACGTATTCAGGGTACGGAGACGCAGATGATGCAGGTTACTCGGGAAATGAAGATGAAGATACACAACATGGTAGAGGAGGTGGAAGAGAAAGTATCTAAGGCTTTAAACGAAGAGATTTGGCGCTTGGGCGTGCTCATTGACGAATTCAACATGCCCTTCCATCCGGAGCGTCTGGTTCTAAATATCTACAAGAAGGAATTAAATGCCCATGTAGAGAGTGGCCTGGGAAGCAACTTGCGTGCCCGTCTCTCCATGGCGCTTGCCATGAACGTGGAGTCCGCCCAGACGGAGATGACTGACCGCATGCACGCTTTGGTGCCCAACGAACAGCTTTTGGCTACCAGCACCAAGATGATTGTGCGTACGCAGCCCTTCGAGATGTTGTACTCGCTGAACTGCCAGAATCTCTGTGCCGACTTTCAGGAGGATCTGGAGTTCAAGTTTAGCTGGGGCATTGCTGCGATGATTCAGCGTTTCACCGGGAAGGTGCGTGAGCGCAGCAAGAAGGGTCAGCCGGCGCTGGTCAACCGACAGAGCAGTATTGGAGTAAGTTTGTGGTTAGGATAATGTGGGTAACCATATACTATATCTTTACTCTATTACCCTTTACAGCACAGCGTATCAACGCCCGCCACCACACCCGTTGAGTCTACTCCTGTATGCTTGCTACCCGCTCCGGGCATGGCTGCTATAACGCCCGAACAGCTGACGCTGATCTCTCGATTTGCGGTGTCCTCCATTGGATCCCAGGGCACCGTTGGCGGTCTCGTAGTCGCCGGTATCGTAAGTGTCCTAACTACTCGCAACACCTCTTGTGCTCACAAATGACCAAGCAGGTGCTATTAAATAGCTATGTGCTGAAAACTCATCATTTGCAGATGCTGAAAACTATTGGCTGGCGCGTTTTGGTGGGCGTGGGAGCCCTGTATGGCTGCATCTACCTGTACGAGCGCTTGTCGTGGACTAATTCCGCCAAGGAGCGCACTTTCAAGGGACAATATGTGCGCCATGCTACCAAGAAGCTCAAGATGATCGTCGACCTCACCTCGGCCAATTGCAGCCATCAAGTGCAGCAGTTAGTATTGATTACAGGATGGGTACTAGATATCATTTAATAATGGCATATCAATTATATCTCTACAGAGAGCTGTCCAGCACGTTTGCCCGTTTGTGCCGCACCGTTGACACCGCCACCACGGACATGAACGATGAACTCAAGACGCTGGATTCGCAGCTGAACATCCTGGAGGCGAACCAGAAGCAACTGAAGCTGCTCCGCAACAAGGCCAACTATATTCAGAACGAGCTCGACATTTTTGAGCATAACTATATATCGCCACAGTAGGGAGTGAAAACGGGGTGTCCTATGTGATCTGATGGATCCGAGAAGGGGAAAACACTTACAAGAAAATGCAAGATCATAAAAAAAATCAAGGAAAACCAAACACCCGGAACGACTACAATAACCATATTTGACTACGTTTTTGTTGCTCACCTCTCAGAATATGATTCCTTTTTTTTTGTAAATGCATGATTGAGCCTAACGATTGGTAAATCTTTATTTTTTTCGTTTTAACAAAATGTTGTTCCTGAGAATTATTTTAATTCCTAACTTCCACTATTGATAGTGTGGTTATTTAATTTTTTTTGTAACTGCTGACCCCAAAACATTTATAGAAATAATCAAACATACTGTGAGCATGGCCGGGTGCCATGAAAAACCAAGTTAAGGTGAATTATAAATCAGCATGCTCCCCTAAAGCAAATGCCACTTATTTCCCTTACCTTTTAACAGAAAGTCATGTAATTATATTGTTTTTGAATTGGATGCTAGAATAATGAATTGATGGCTCTTTGGGGTAAAGCAAAAACGATAAACATATAAAATTGTTGATGATGCAAAACAGAAGAATGATTAATGAACGAAAACGAAACGAAATAAATGATATTTATGTATGAAAATTTATTATTATTTTATAAAATGCCCAACAAAGTAAAGAAACCTTGGGTACTTCTTGTTCGCTTCATGATGCAGTACCACGAAAAAGAAAGGGATGGGTAATGGTTTCCTAATAAAGGCGCGAATCACGCATATAATCCGATCCTTTTATCGACCCATTGATTGCCGGATAAACGCATTTGAAATTGTCTTTTTGTTTTAATCGTATCGTTTTTATCGGGATCACACATTTGGTTAATCTTAGTTCTTGTTGTGCCACTTATTTTCCTCAAAGCATTACTAATACAAAATGTACAAAAAGTATATAGTTTGTGTGTTGTTCACAGAAATAAATAAGTTTGGAATACAAAATACAATGAATTATATAAAGGCTTGCTTTTTGTTTCTGTAAATGTCTAGCTGTTTCAGCATTCATAATCAGTAAATACAATACTTGGATATACTTCTTAAACAAATCGATTCTATGCTTTCTATTATTTTGTTTTTGTTTTTGGTTGCACTTTCACTTGTTGAAAACAAATAACATAAGGTTAAACTTTGATCTTACTAAATATATATGTGTTTGCCATACAAAAGGGTCGCAATTACAGGTGTGTGTGTGAGTTCTGTTCCGAGTGTTTTGAGTTGAAGGCGTATAAAGGTGGACAAATGGATCAGTCAGTCGAAGGCTGCCTTTTCGCTGGTCCACAAGCGTAGATGATTGATTGCCACGATGCCGAAACAGTGGGCGGATCGTATTGGATCGGTATATGGTTATGGTATCGTATCGTATCACACGGGCCACAAATCTTTTTACAGGAAGTAAGGCGTAGTGTTCTGCTTGGGTATTACCCGTTCGGCATCCGGAACCGCCAGGAAGATCTTCGTCTGCCTCTGTTGCGCCGTTTCGAAACTGAGGATAGCAGCCACATTCCCACATCGATAGCAATAGTTTGGTGCTGACCAAACAGTCACCAGTTTGCCCTCGAACATGTACTTGATGCCCTCGTTGACCAGCTGATGTGCCCGGCATATCAGATCCAGGTTGTTGATCGCCATGAAGTCCTTGGTTACGTTATGTCCGAACAGCCACCCTGCGCCTCGCGGACTCTGGCCCCAGTACTCCATGTCCTCAGGATCGGACCACACCAAATCACAGAAGGCTCCCTTGTACGGTATCTCGCCATTACGCTCGATTGTCCTTATCTGATCCAAAGTGATAATCTCGGGACTCAGGCCACCGTGTACGCACAGCACCTCTTCGTCGATGATCTGTGGGGGATACGCAAAAACGGTATTACAAATCTAACTTTTTGGTGATCTTTAAGTAGGGACGTACGGCAGCGATGGTGAGAAGATCGAAGACTTTGCAGCAGTACTTCCATCCATTGGCATTTCCGTACTTGCTGAAGCACTCGTCAAAGAATCCATAGACCTTGGTTATCTGCCGGGTTTCGTGGTTTCCTCGCAGCAGGGTGATCCTGCTGGGATACCGTGCCTTAAGGGTCAGCAGTCTGGTGAATGTTTCCAACGAGTAATAGCCTCGGTCCACAAAGTCGCCCATGAATATGTAGTTGGTGTCCGGAACTTGGCCTCCCGTGCGGAACAGTTGCTCCAGATCGTAGAACTGAATGATAAGATCAAAAGAGGTTACAGGGATTACATAGATTAATATTTGTGCAAATATAGTATCTTACCTGGCCATGGATGTCACCGCAAACGGTGACGGGCGAGCTCACGGGCAGAATATTTGTCTCCTCCAGCAGAATGTCGCACACCATCTCGCAAAGCTTTTTCAGTTCATTCTCCGTCAGGTACTTGCACTCCTTCACACTCTCTATCCACTTGTCAACATCGCCCATGATGCCTTATTCCTTGTCGCCTTGCCTTGTGTATTATAATTAGGGATGTGGATTAAAAAAAAAATAGCGAATTTGAGATGGCCGAATAATGAGTGAGACAGCATTTTCAGGAGGGTGTACTCGCTAACTATCGAGTTCACCCCCGCATTGACGCGGAAGCACTAATGGTCACATTAAAAATAATAATAACCAAAACCATGGTGTGCAAGCACTAATGAACTGGTTCGTTCATTGGTTATCGATAGTTTGCCATTCATTTATTTGAATTTAATTTTAAATTTGAATTTTGTTCTTTGGCGGTACCCTTGAGTTTCCCCAGTTTTTTTTTATGTGGCTTAAGCAAACCGAAATTAGTTGCAATTAGCTTTTAGCCGGCACAAATCATAATTAGTCCGCGCTGAAAGCTTTTTAAATCCTCTTATTTTTTTAACCCCATCCCATTTATGCATATTTCTTTTCGCATCTTGAAAATAATCACGCTTTTAAATTTTATTGCCATGGCACGCAACTTGTTAGCTGTTTGTTTTGTTTGCCTCTGCTGCTTTTTGTTAGCTCCCTTATTTGGGGGAGTGAGTCGAGTGTTAAGGGTTATGAGAAGCGTGCTGGCATGCGTTTTTTGGCATGGGGGTGGCACATGGGTTAATGGCCATGGCGCTTGTTTAGAGTCTCATTAGCACTTTGCCATTTGATTGTGTTTTCTTCTTTTCGCATCTTTAAATGGAGAAAATATGCTTGCCATAAAGGTGACAGTTTTTAATCGAGAGAAATCAAAACTGTAAGGAAGCTGTTAGTTCTGTTTTAAATTAATTGATTGATTTTAAAGTTAAAAACAGGAAATGATTTATGAAGAACGTCATAAATTTAATTTTAAAATATATTTTTTTTTCAACGTAAAGACATTTATGATGGTTCGAAAGTTTTGAATGAGTAAATAATTTTTCTTATATTCTTATTTTTTAAGTACTGAAAATCATACGCGTGGAGTTCCCTGGTTTATTATATAAGTTTCCCTATCTTTTTCTATCACTGTCCCTGCCCGTCTCATTCCCATTCCATTTTTACAAAGATGGCATGCTCCATCATTAGTGCCGTTACTTTATGCCCTTCCGTTTTGGTATTCAACTTGGGCTTGTTCTCTCAGCAGCTTTTTGTGCTCTTTTGGCCATCTTCCTCCTCTGGCTCCTCTTCCTATTCCACACCATATCCCTGCATATCCTTCTATTGTCCTTGCTGTCGCTGTTTGTGTCCGCCTGGCACAATGTTGACAATTAAGTTAAACTTGTTTTCTTACTTCGTTTCGTTACGTTTCGCCAATTCCGCTCTCCCCCTAAAAGTCAAAGTCCTGTCGTCTGCGGCTGATGTGGCTGATAATTATGTGCCCCCTGCACGGACGAAAAGGACACGGGCAGCGGAACACGGACAACGGACAGTCTCTTGGCTTTATCTTTGTAGACACACGGTGGCAAAAAGTATTTCCCAAAGTTTCTCAAAAGCGAAAGTGAGCCATAATCGGGTACTATTTAAATTAGGATAAGTATGAGTACTTTTTTTTGAGAATATTTATGGTTTTATTTATGGAAAAACTGGAAACATTTAAAATATTTTACTTCTGATTACTTTGATATATATTTTATAAAATTTCTCTTGGATAACTAATGTTAAAAATATTTTCAAAATATTTTCAGTGAACTTGTGAGACATTTGAGAGGAAGCGTAAAATGGCCCACGGTGGGTCACTTTATTTTTGGCATTGTCCGCCTTCTTTGACCGCTTTGGTCATTTTAGCCGACTTTCCTCTTATTGTTGACGTTTTGTTAACTTGTTTTTTCCTGTGCCATAGCGGCACAACGCCTTCCTCGCCCTACTGCCACATTTTTTTTTTCTTCTTTTCTCTGACGGCTTTTGGCTGCCCTTGCTCTTGTCGCTTGAATTGTCGTCGAAAATTAAATAAAATTAATTACCGCGTGTGTTTGTATAAACACGCACATGCTCATACACACACACACAGTAGCAGCGAGACAAGACAAGACAGCGATTCGCGCACCAGTGAACCGCCCAGTCACCCACAGAACCACCGAACCACTGAACCACCCACTGAGCAGCTGAGCAAGTGAGCAACCGAAGCAACCCAACCACCCACCTGTGCCATTTGATTCACGCGCGTGTGCGTATCCTGCGACCTCAAGGAGCCCACAGTCCGCCCACAGATGCATCAACATTTAAATCAACATCAGAGAGTCACAGCCGCAATATCGGGTCAAAGGATTTTCAACTGACCAAATCGGAGGTCACTTTGTCATAACATTTAACAGCTAATGAAGCGTTCAAGACGCCAGTAAATCCAGAATATTGCCGCTAATGAGGATCACAACTTTAATAATGCGGTTATGGAAATTTCAGGTATTTTAGTTAGTTTTGATTATAAAGTTGGGAAATGTATTATATAGATTTTCAGCTCTGTTTAATTTCTCAAAAAAAAACTTAAATCTGTTTTTATTTGATGTGCCAAAAATAAAAATCCAAAGGAAAAACAAAAGCAAAAGATTTCTACCAATGAATTACAATCGAAAACCAATTAAGGTTAAATATCAAATGTCAATAGAAATATGGAAACCATTGTGCAGTCACAAATGAAACTTAAAATTGATTGTAATTATATATCTCTTTGCAGGCTGCAACGAAAGGCCAGGTCGTTTCGCCAGGCTTTACTGTGTCCCGTGGCGAAAGCGTGTCGACGGCATCTCCATCATCATTATCAACAGTTGCCATTCGGCTACTTGGAGGCACAGCGGTCGAGAATCCGGAATCGGAGAACTCTGGCGGAGTCGGCACATCCGTGTTGCTTTAAATTATCTGTTGTTGCTGCCGGCATCACCCTACACAGCCACCAGCCCACTTTTACAAAAAAAAAAAATAATAACCCCAACCACTGCCACCCTACTACTATTTAACGCTCCAGTTTTAGAAGCCTTTTGCACTGCAAGAAATCATGTGGTTAATGAGCTGGCATTTCACTTGCCTATCACTTAAATATAACTCTAAGATATGGAATATTGAATATCTTAACAGCCCAATTCTGGTGATTTGAAGTTTCTAAAGACTGCCCTCTACTTTTATATAACAATTTTTAACCGTGTAATTGCTGCAAAGGGCAACATCTTGCCACGTTTGCTGTCATTTTTAGGCGGGTTCTCGTGTCGTTTGGCCACGTTTTGTCGCCCAGCTGGTGGTGCGTTTTGGATGGGTTGGGGAGTCGTGGGTGGTGCCGGTTTTTAGGCTTGGGGGCGTTATTCAGCCCCCACTGCCACACCCCCTTTTTGACGCCTCCTTTACCCACTATTTTCTTTGTCTCTGCTGTGTCATTTCATGCGTTTGCTTTGTTTTATTTATTTTAACTTTTGTGCCCATCTACCTCACTCTCGTTCCAGCTCGCCCTCTCGCTCATTTCTGCCTGCTATCTCACTTTCTCAACCAGTAGATTGTCATTACTATTACTTGCTGTTGCTGCTGTTGTTGATGTTGCTGTCGTTGCTTCTTTGTGGCCTTTTGACTTTTTAGTGCTTTGGCATTTGACTTTTTCCCTCTTTCTTCCCTCCCTCTCTCTATCTCTCACTGTCTCTCACTCGCTCACTTCCCCCAAAGAAACGAGGGTGGAGGTGAGAGGGGCGTGGCAAATTGTAGTACATAGTTTGGTTGCTGTTACGATAAAAACGAAAATAAAAGCCAAAGCGGAGCAGATAAAATTAAATAGTGACCCAGGATGGACAGCAAAATTCGAGCAGTTCAAAATAAAAGAGAAAAGAGGGGGGAGATGGAGGGGGGAGAGTTGGTATGGTCTACGTTTGTGGGCGGCACCTGCTGCCGTGGGCGTGGTCCACGTACAAAAACTAATCGTTCAATTAAGTTGCCCGCGGGGCGGCGAAGGGGCGTGGCACCTAGAACATGTCCGAAACAAGCAGCGAACGCAAAAAGTTAATGAAAAAAAAGAGGAACATCGAAAAAAAAGAGTGTGCAGATTGTATTAGGAAATACAAAATGCAGTGAAAGAAACTGATAGAGCTTTATTAAAATAGGGATTTCATGTTAGAAAGCAGCTTTCATAACTTTTCTTTGTGAAGATTTCGACTTTTTTCTCTACCTAAAACCCTGTAAAATGGCTCAGAGACGTAGCAGAGTAAAGTGGCTTACCATTTTATGATCAGAATTAAGCTACCAAAAAAACTGTATTCAAAATTTTTAAAATTGGTGAAATTTTTTTTTCTTCGAAATTTTGCATTTTTGGCAAGGGGTACCCCTTAAAAAATTTTCAAAAATATTAAAAAAATTTATTTTGGAAATTAACAAAATCTGGTATATAGCAGTTACAAGCGCTAAAAAACATTCACAAAAATGCCTTCCCCCTCTTAAATAAACCTATTTTTAACTGTTCCGTAGAGGTTTTATCTTTGAAAATTACACTAGATTTTTTATAATCGAAAAAACGTGTAATTTTTTTAACGTCTGAGAGAAGAGTGGCTTACCATTTTATAAAAACAACAATGAATAATAAATTTAAATTACGAGTATTTCTTATACAGAATGCAAAAAATGCTTTAAAAAAATATATAATTTTCTAAGAATTTTCTATTCTATTTAGAAGGCGATATCCTTTTTCCACTGTAGAGGTGCTCAGCTGTCGTCTCGCATTTTATTTACTTCCGTCTGCCTCCTGTTTTCGCAATACATCTGCAGTGTAATGGGGCATAAAGGGTAGAGAAAGAGAGGAGATGGAGATGGAGATGGGGTGGAGAAAAGAGGAGAAGAGAAGTGAAAAGGGTAAAGGGAGAGAGCTGAAGAAATGGTAGGGCAGCTTCTGCTCTTTAATTTCTTTTGAGCACAAAACAATTATCAATTAATGTACCGTTATGTCTGTGTATGTGTCAGTGCGTCTGTTTGTTTATGTGTATGTGTATGTGTATTCCTGTGCGCGTACGTGCTGGCTTGTGTATGGGCGAGTGTCTGTGAGTATGTTTGTTTGGAAATGAAATTGTTTGAGCTTACATTGTCAAGCGGCAATGAAGGAAGAATGAAAAGTTGGAGGGCGGCGGC